CCTTCCTCTTTTCTTTCTTTCTGTCTTTCTTTTCTTTCTCCTGTTTCCTTCCTTCTTTCCTTTCTTTTTCTTCTTCCTTTTCTTTCCGTCTTTCTTTCCTTCCTTCCTTTCCTTTCCTTCTTTCCTTTTCTTTCTTTCCTTTCTTTTCCTTCCGTCCTTCCCTTCCCTTCCTTCTCTTTTGTCTTCGTTTCCTCCCCATTTGCTCTCCTCTTCCTTCCTTCCTTCCGCACTTGCTCTCCTTTTCTTTCCTTCCTTCCTTCCTTCCTTCCTTCCACACATATACATACATACACACACAGAGTACATGTATGTTTATGTATGTATACAGATGCACACAGCCTACCTATGTAATTATGTATCACCTGGAAGAATTGCACTGTGGAATTGTGGAAATTCGGTATTCTTACCTTATTTTGAAAAATCATACCGTTTTGGATTACTCCACAGTGTTATTGCTGCTCTATATTAGCTGGAATAATCACACCAGCATAGTTCTTAAAAACTGAGGCATGTTGATATATAGTATGTATATATACATGCTTATATAATTACATATCAGCTGGAAGAATCACACCATTGTGGAATTTGAGACTTATTGTTACATTATTTCGAAGAATCATACAATTGTGAATTGTTCCATAGTATTATTGCCCTACATTAGCTTGAAAGAACCACACAACTGGAAGATGGTTATGATTCTAGAATTGTATCCTGCCCTTTTTTGTATAGTTCAAAGCAGTATGTACAAAATCTTGCCTCTTATTTTCCCCCCACTATCCCTCGGGGAGGGGGTGTTGGGTGGCAAGAGAGACTCTGGCCAAAAATGACCAATAACCCACAGATTTATGTGAACTCATGGACAGCGAGTTTCTGGTCTGGCACTTTTTGAATTTTATGAGACCCCCCTCGCTGTTTCTGTAAACATGAAAGCGAGGCGGAAATCTCCCTTGTATCTGTTTTAAATATATCTTAATTAAGAGTTTATAAACAATTGGATTGAATTGTTGTAGGTTGAAAAAGAAGTGCAGAGGAGAAAGGAATTGGACCATCTATCCAGAGAAAGAAAAGCAATCATCTCTCAGAATTACAGACCAAAGCATCCACAGCTATATATTTTACAGGTAAAGGATGTGCTTTGTTGTGTTTGCACATCAGTTTATGCTCAGAGGAAGGGGGAGGAAGAGGAGGGGACTTACGCAAATTATGAAGCAAAGTGAGACTAACTTGAGGCTTCATAGCCTTTTCTGACAAAGAGAAAACCTCATAATCTAGATGTTGTTGATACCAAATCGTTTTACCAGTGATTGAGGTAGAGGAATAATTTACCTGGGCAGCAGAGAGGATGCAGCCTTGCAACCTGCTCCTACGTAGTCCCTAGGGTTAAGAGCACTGGCAGCAACCCAGAAAATCTGATGCAAGTTATAGGCCAGTTAATCAGAAGTAACGTTTATTCTGTTCAATTTTGTTTCTCTTGTTCTCTCCTCATCCCTACCTGCTATGGTAGGAATCATTTTTTAACCCAGAATTTTTAGAAACTGTCAAGTACTGCACATCCCAAAATGCTGATCTCCAGGGTCTCCTTCACCATGTGGAATCCTTATCAAGTAAAATTACCGGTAGGTGTTCTTTTACCCATAGCCTGCAAAGAGGTATAAATCTAGCAGGCTGAGCTTACTACTGTTTGACTCAGGAAAGGCTCCACTTCTCATGCACAGATGAATCTTTCTCACCCTTGCTGCTAAAATTCCATTCAGCTTGGGAAATTCATTATTTTATATGCAAATAAATTTTAAAAATCCTGAATTATGGCCTTCTGCCCACAAACGTCTTAAGCTTTAACTATAAAAGAAAAAAAAATGGACTAGTTTATTTTATCAGCTGGAAAATATACTTACTCCTGCTAGGCAATAAAGTGAATTTCTTCACTCCCTTCTCTGGTTACTTTCTTCTTCTACTTCAGATAAGAGAATCTACCGGTTGCCAATATTCACCAAGGAATTCTGCGAAGCTTTTGTTGAGGAGTTAGAACATTTTGAACAGTCCGAGATGCCCAAAGGGAGACCCAATTCTATGAATAACTATGGGGTGAGATTTGCATCTTGTAGATGGCAAAAATGGGGGAATGTAACGGAACCATGATGTGGGAATTAGTTTTGTTAAATGTACTTTCTCAATGTTAAAGGGAACAGGGTTACTTGCGTACTATCCTGTCTCACTTAATACAAAACAATTATTAATGCTACATTGCTAATTCTTTACATAATAAAAAGCATTTTTTTAAGCCCTTGAAAAAAATGGACTTGAATCTTCTGCTAGAATGTTCATATTTCCTTTCTTCCTTTCATTTTGTGTCCTTTCCTTTCTCGTTCACATTTTATGGCAGGTGCTTTTGAATGAACTTGGACTGGACGAAACTTTTCTTACACCTCTGCGAGAGAAATATTTGCAACCCCTGACAGCGCTGCTTTACCCAGACTGTGGAGGGAGCTGCTTGGACAGCCACAAAGCTTTTGTGGTGAAATACGCACTGCATGAAGATTTGGACTTGCACACTCATTACGACAATGCGGAAGTGACTCTCAATGTTTGCCTGGGGAAAGAGTTCACCGAAGGGAGCCTTTACTTCGCGGAATTTAGACAGGTGCCTCTTTTAAAATACAAATTTTATACAATTGATTGTAATCTTTTTTTCCCCATCAACAACGCATTGTTGAGATGGGCAGTTAACTACTATATGATGGGTTTGAAATCTGGTGGCTTTATAAAAAGTTAGCCAAACTCAAGGTATTTAGCTCTCATCCATACCCTCTAGCCATACCCTTACTCGGATTCGAATTTGGGCTGCCTGCATATTAGGCAGTTGTATTAACCTCTGAGCCACAAGTTCTCCTCCCTTTACCAGCTTGAGCCAGGGGAGAAATTAAGTGTTTTTCTGTCAAAGTATAAATGTATGTATGTATGTATGTATGTATATATGTAATAATATTATTAAAGCTATAATCACATGTGTACAATGGTTATAACTTTTGGTTATTTTCTTTATATCTTTCCTTTATTATTCTTAGAAATAACTCAAGGCAGCAAACATACCTAATATCCCTTCCTCCTCCTAGTTTCCCCAACAACAATCCTGTGAGGTGGGTTGGACTGAGAGTGGGTGACTAGCCCAAAGTCACCCAGTGGCTTTTGTGCCTAAGATGAGACTAGAACTCACCATCTGCTGGCCATTGGCCCAAAATCACCCAGCCAGTTTCCATGCTTAAGGCAGGACTAGAACTCTCCGTCTCCTGGTTTCTAGCTGGGTGTCTTAGCCACTAGTTTCCGCTGCTTTGATTTGAAGACAACTGCTGAAACAGTTCTTTAACCTGATGATCTTTGCCCACTCTTTTCAAGGATGCCAAGCCTGTGCCAAGTTACCTTGAGGTCGAACACGTGCTGTTCTACGGATTGTTCCATCGCGGAGGGCAGCTACACGGGGCACTGCCCATCACCTCTGGCGAACGCAGAAACCTGATTATCTGGATGCGATCATCCGTTATCCGCAACCAGCTTTGTCCCATGTGCAATAGAGAGCCTGACCTCGTTGAAGCAGACGGATTTGGAGACGGTTTCACTAGGATTTTGGAGGGCAGCCCACCTGGGACCACAGATGTTTGCTCGTTAACATAGAAAGGTGGCGGAGGGAGAACTTTTCACCTGGATTTTAATAAATTTTCAAAATCCAACTTTAAGGCATCAATAGTCTCTTTTTCCGTGCAGTCCTGGGTGGGTGCATGGCAGTTTTGCTTGCAGACGTCTCATTGCCCAGCTAGGCAACCTCATCAGTGCTAGAAGGAAGTGGGTTGGAGGAGGAGGACTCTGGGGTCCTTGGTACTGAGTTTTCTTGCAGTCATTTCAGGACCCAACTAGGCAACACCATCAGTGTGACAGTGGGTAAGGTGCTCCCTGTTTGTATATGCCAATTTTTATTAGTCTCAGTGATGAAATCCAAATGTTTTTACTACCTGCGGACGTGGCTTGTTGGGCGTGGTGTGGCTTGGTGGGCATGGCAGGATGGATACTGCAAAATCTTCATTCCCACCCCACTCCTGGGGGAAGGATACTGCAAAATCCCCATTTCCTCCTCACTCCAGGGGTAGGATACTGCAAAATCCCCATTTCCTCCTCACTCCAGGGGAAGGATACTGCAAAATCTCCACTCCCTCCCCACTCCTGGGGGAAGGATATTGCAAAATCTCCATTCCCTCCCCACTCCAGGGGGAAGGATACTGCAAAATCTCCATTCCCACCCCACTCTGGGGCCAGCCAGAGGTGGAGTTTGCCGGTTCTCCGAACTACTCAAAATTTCCACTACCGGTTCGTCAGAACCTGCTGGATTTCATCCCTGGTCTCTCTTCATCTTCAAATCCACACCCCCAACATCAGTCCTTATATAGATGGTATCTCTCCAGCATAACCGCTAAATATCCTTTTTAAATCAAGAGCTCAAAAATAGTATTTTGAATGCTTGATTCTTACTGTAAATAAGAACCTTTCCTTCCCAGTTACAATAGCTCCAATTGGAACGCAAAATCTCCCTATTTATAACTTCTGGTAGCCAGAAAGCCAACAGAAATCTTGTAAGAGAACAAATTACAAATCCCTTGTTTTAAATAAATCCCCCTCCCCCAAAAAATGTGAAGAGGAAGGGAGATGGGCGACATAAGAATGTAATAAAATAAATTTAATCAATAAAATCTCTTAATGCAGTGTTTCTCAGCCTTGAAGATGGGTGGACTTCAACTCCCAGAATCCCCCAGCCAGCGCTGCTGGCTGGGGGATTCTGGGAGTTGAAGTCCACCCATCTTCAAGCTACCAAGGTTGAGAAACACAGTCTTAATGGGAAAGAAACGCTTCCTGCCTTCGGGTCGCATATATTATAACCGAGGTGGGAACCAAAGTGCGCAGCCTCCGATTTCCCCACCGGACGCATCTAGGAACGTACCAACCGGAAGTGGCCGCCACAGTTTAGAGAACGGACGCCGTTGCGGCGGGAGGGGGGGCTGCGTTCGCTTCCCGAGGCAGTTGACGTCCGCGGATGGTGCGGAGAAGCCGCCTTAACGAGGGCTCCGCTCCTCAAGCCGTGCCGGGCCTTCTCCTCCGCCCCACCGGCGAGCCGCTTACCTAACTCGGTAAGTCTTAAGTAGACAACGGGACGAATTCGGATCCATTAAAAGCGGAGCAGGTTCGTCCTTGGTGCGCATGCGCCCCAAGCGGCCCCCCTCTGGCGATTTAGGCGGAGGCGGGCTTATAAAAGGCAGGGGTTGCACGCGGATTGGCCGAAGACGGTTTAAATGACAGGTAGGAAAGGGATGTTTTTCTTAAAGGGCCAGTGCTCAAACTGCGTGTTTTTCTGAGTTATTCAGTAGAAAAGGAAGAATATTTAATATACTATAAAGATTTGAGTACAAATAGCTGGAAAAACATGGGGAGCAGTTTCCCTTCAGAATAAAGTGACTATTCCTAAAGGAATAAAAACCTAAAGGAATAAAATTACATCAATTTTGTTGCTTTTGCATCAATTCAGTTGGTGTCCTTCCCTCTGCTTCTCCCTTTAAATCTTAACCAGTTTAAAAAGAAAAACAATGTACCTTCTCTTTCCAGAAGGACATGTGTTTTCCTCATGTGATCGTAAACTTTCAAGAAACTCTGTTGTGCCACCTAAATATTTTATACACCAGATGCAATTAACATAACAGTGAGTTGCCCTGTGGAACTCATGGCCACAAAATACCTGTAAAAAGAAATGGAAATTAATCCAGTGATTAAGTGAAGTAATTGAGTGAAACTGGGAAAAAATGGCTTAAAAAAAATTTAAAGATCTACAAGATGAGAATTCCATTTAAAAAAAAAATAGAGGAAAGTTTTAGTTGGAGATGAATAGCAGGAGTGGGCTATTGTTATATTTTTTTATTATATTTTACGTATTTTAGCAATAGCAATAGCATTTAGACTTAAATACGGCTTCACAGTGCTTTCCAGCCCTCTCTAAGCGGTTTACAGAGTCAGCATCTTGCCCCCAACAATCTGGGTCTCCTCATTTTACCCACCTTGGAAGGAGGGAAGGCTGAGTCAACCTTGAGCCTGGTGAGATTTGATTTGCCAAATTGCAGGCAGCTGGCAATCAGCAGAAGTAGCCTGCAGTACTGCACTCTAACCACTATGCCACTGCGCTCTTCCTTTACATTATTTTATACTTTTTAATTTTATATATTGTATCTTTACAAATTAGGCATTCCTAGAGGGTTGCAATGGTGATGGTTATTCTGCTGGCGGGTTGTTAAAAAAGCATTCCCTCTGTCTGAAACAGGATCAAGGAGCAAGATGGCTCACAGCCAAACTAAGAAACGCAGGAGGAGCCGAAGTGATTCCCGGAGCCGACGAGAGAAGGAGGAAGATAAAAAAAAGAGGAAGAGCAGCAAAGATTCCCGCGAGAGGAGAAGCCGATCCCCAGCAAGCAAAAAAGAATCTGAACCCCAGGAATTCAGGCCGAGTTTATCCTCTTCCAAAGACGGTGAGGAAAAAGAAAAATACTCCAGATTTTCCCAAAATCGCAGCTCTGGTTTGTATGGCTGTGAATCTTAACAAATGCACAGTTGAGGCTTCCAATTGAGCCTTGTTGAAAGATGAAGGATGGGGACCTCTCCTCACCCTTCCATCTTGGTTCTCTCCCTGGCAGGGTCAGGGAACTTGGCTTTGACTTGGTAAGCCAAGCCGGCTTTCCCTTCCATAAACCCTCTAACCTAAGCGTTCCCAAACCACGATGCAGACTCCTTATCCCAACAAAACCCCCTTTTTATTAAGTGACTGTGAATTCCTCTCATTCACATCCAGCAAAGTCTTTCCAGGGAGAATTTAACAGTCACAGACCTTATCTGGCTTGGAGAGCTGCCAGGCCGATACCTTCAAAACTTGGCAAGGAGTCTCTGAGACTCATGAACTAATTAAGCAAATTAATTGTCTCCTGCAAACTCCACTCCCCTTTCGCTCCTCTTTATTCCCTCTGGGAGGGGCCATTCACCGTCCACCTGTGGCTTTACTCCTGAGTCAACCCTTGTTCTTTAGCTGTTCTCTTCTCCTGGCAGCTCTGTGCATGTGACACTGGGAACAGGCTGCAGCTGTTCGTCTGCCTCACTGATGTCCAACTCCGAAGGCAGCTGATAACTGGCATCCGGCCCTGGCCCGCTCTCTGCCTCTGACGCAGAGTCCTCCTCAGAGCCTTCCCCAGACTCCAGGACTGGCCCATGTTCCTCCCCAACCTCCTCACTGTCCGAATCTGCTGCCAGTTCCGCTGGCGGGCCACAACACCAGGAGTTCCACCAGGACTTGGAACTTGAGGAATTTAACATTTGAAACAGGAAGCTTGGTCTCTCAGGTGTGGTGGCAGATGCAATAGTAGACTGAATGTTGGTTCTTGCTGTCCGCAGGCATGCTTTTAAGGCAGCCCGAAAAGGGGGGTGGGTGGGGAATTCTGGGAATTGAAGTCCACCCGTCTTAAAGGGGCTGTCGTTGAGAAACAGTGTTTTTTTTTTTTTTTTTAAATTTGATTTATATGCCGCCCTTCTCCGAAGACTCAGGGCGGCTTACAATGCGTTAAGCAATAGCCTTCATCCTTTTTGTATATTTATACAAAGTCAGCTTATTGCCCCCACAATCTGGGTCCTCATTTTACCTACCTTAGAAAGGATGGAAGGCTGAGTCAACCTTGAGCCTGGTGAGATTCGAACTTACAGTAATTGCAAGCAGCTGGTCTTAATAAGCTTAATAACAGGGTGCCTTAAACCCCTGTACTAAGGAGTGTTTACCGATTATCTTATTTGTAGGGTTGCAGAAAAGCCCACACTGTTTTAAGAAGTTATGGTAGTTCCCCAGCTCGCTCTGTTCAGGCATGGTCTCCACGACAAGTTGGGTCTGGGTAGGACTGGCAAAGAGAATAGTCTTTTCAACTAGCCAACAGAATTTGCCAAAGAAAAGATAGCTTCCAGGGCTGACAATCGCATTCGCCAACACATCTGGGAGACCAAGCTTCCTGTTTCAAATGTTAAAATCCTCAAGCTCCTAGTCCTGGTGGAACTCCCGGGAAGTTTTAAGGAAGGGAAAGCCGGCTTGGCTTACCGAGTCAAAGCCGAGGAGGACGCCTTCTCTGAACTGCCAGGGAACCAAGATGGAAGGGTGAGGAGAGGTCCCCATCCTTCTTCCATTTTTCACCAACGTTAGTTTGGAAGTCGCAGCTTCGTCTCCCCCCCCCCACCCTCGTGATGAGTTTTTGCGGTTCTGTTGCGACACAATAATAAATGAAGCCAGTGGGATCACATCTCCTGGATTTTTATCCAGGTTGGGGACGATTGTCCTCTGGAGCCCCTGTTCATCTTGTGTTCTGTGTTGGCTTCTAGTGAAAAAGAAGAAGAAAACGAAGAAGAAAAGGAAGAGGAAGGCCAGCTCCTCTTCCTCCGAGACCGGCTCTTCTTCCTCCTCCTCCTCTTCCAAATCGGCCTCCTCTTCCAGTGCCTCTTCGGACGAGTCCGGCGACGAAAAGGCCAAACCCGAAAAGAAAAAGCAGAGGAGGAAGAAGGCGTCCAAAGGGAAAGACAAGAAGCGGAAAAAACGAAAAGAGAAGAAGAAGAAGAAGAAAGCCAAGAAAGAGAGGGGAAAAGAGGAGGGGGGAAGTAAGAAGGAAGAGGCCCCCGGCCCTTCGCTGGACCAGTGGCAGAAGGAGGCTGGCTCGGATTCCGGACCAGGTAAGGCTGGCCTTGGTAAACTCAGTTACAGCAAGCCTGGAAAAAAATTCTCCAAAAAAGAGGGTTGGAGGAACAATTGAGAGGCTTTCATAAAATAAAACAGGTCCTCCTTCGTTCCTTCCTTCTCTCCCTCCCTTTTCCTTTTCCCCTTCTTTCTGCCTCTGTCCCCTTCCTTTCCTTTCCTCCTCCCTCCCTCTCCTCCCTTCCTTCCTTTCCTCACACCCTTCCTTTTCCCTTTCTCCTTCTTTCTGCCTCTGTTACCTTCCTTTCCTTTCCTCCTCCCTCCCTCCCTTCCCTCCCTTCCTCCCTTTTCCCTTTCCCCTTCTTTCTGCCTCTCTCCCCTTCCTTTTCCTTTCCTCCTCCCTCTCTTCTTCCTTCATTCCTTTCCTCCCACCTTCCCTTCCTTCCTTCCCTCCCTTTTCCCTTTCTCCTTCTTCCCTTCCCTTCCCTTCCCTTCTTCATGATGAACAGGGTTTTCCCCATCCATGCAGACTGAAAAATCTGGGTCCTTTCTCCCTGTGGGGTAGAATGCAGAGCACATCGTCTGTGTTGAAGAGTTAAATAGCATCCTTTCTTTTCTGACGGAGGTTCCTCTTTCAGCCCTCACGGACGAGCAGAAGTTCCGCATCCAGGCCATGAAGCCGATGACAAAAGAGGAATGGGACGCCCGCCAGAGCGTTATACGGAAAGTCCTCGACCCCGAAACAGGCCGCATGAGGTAGGAGCAGCGCGGCTGGCTTAAATGGAGATTCCTTCCCTGTAATCTTCGTCTTTTAATGACCCCGTAATCCCTTGCATCGGGGTGGAGTCGGGGCAACTGAATGGAGCCGAGTGTTTACTGGCCGGATGCCCTTCCTGTCGCCAATGCAGAGTTCGCAGCAGATAATTGCTCATGCCCAGAGAGAGAAATATCTGCCACTACCTAGGATCGAACTCACAGCCTCCTGATTGTGAGGCGAGATCTCCATCTCTAGGCCACTGCACCGCTCAATTCCTTCCCTGTAATAATTTTACAAAATCTGTAGAATCAAGCTTTCCCTGATCTTATTTAGAAGAAAGCTAGTGCGGTGGCCTAGAGGTGGAGCTCTAGCCTCACAATCAGGAGGCTGTGAGTTCAATCCTGGGTAGAGGCAGATATTTCTTTCTCTGGGCACACTGTGAGAATATATCTGCTGAACAAAACTCTGTACTGGCGACAGGAAGGGTATCCGGCCATTAAAACACACTGCTAGCTCCATTCAGTTGCCCAGACTCCACCCCGCAAGGGATTATGGGGCCATTAAATGAAGATGATGATGATACATGTTTACGGATAACATCTATTGTTTGAGCAAGTCGAGGTGTTTCTCTTGCAGACTTATTAAGGGCGACGGAGAGATCCTGGAGGAGATTGTCACGAAAGACAGGCATAAAGAAATAAACAAGGTGAGTGACACTCTATTACCACAACAAGCTTGGATGCAGCTGGCCTGTTTGGATAGGATGAGGGTCATTGACTTCATAGCTAAAAACCGGCTGCGTTTTTCTTCAGAAGTTCTCATTTCATAGCCCATATTGTTGAAATTTCCTCAGACGAGACACTTGGTTTCCGTCTCCGTTATCTGCACTTCAAAACACCCTGAGTGTCATATCTATGGAGATTCTCAGTCACCCAAGTCACACAGTTGTCCCAAAGGTGCTTTTTCCAAAAAGGCAACTGGCCTTTTGTTTTTTCCTCGAAGAGGTTTCGCTTCTCATCCAAGAAGCTTCTTCCGTTCCGATGGAAGGAAGAAGAGAGCTTCCATCAGAACGGAGGAAGCTTCTTGGACGAGAAGCGAAACCTCTTTGAGGAAAAACAAAAAGCCAGTTGCCTTTTTTGGAAAAAGCACCTTTGACACCCCGAACATCAGTCTTAGCAAAACCAAATTTCCTAAAGTGCGGGGTGCGACACTGCTGATTGACAGACGTCAATTCAATTCTCCCTTTATTTTCACTGCCACTGGAAACCTAATAGCTTTCAAGGAAATCAGTCCACCCTCTGGAGTTTGCCGTCTTCAGGGAGTCCCTGGGTGGGTGGGAATGGTGGAGGGCGGCTAAACAGGACTTCGCTTTGTCTCTGGCAAGCTCCCACTAACCCAAGGATCTCCAAACTTGGCAACTTTAAGACTTGTGGACTTCAACTCCCAGAATTCCTCAGCCAGCTTAGCTTTGCTGGCCGAGGAATTCTGGGAGTTGAAGTCCACAAGTCTTAAAAGTGGCCAAGTTTGGAGACCCCTGCCCTAACCTGTATCATCCTCTCCTTTTGCAGCAAGCCAGTCGGGGCGATGGACTTTCCTTTCAGATGAAAATGGGGATGTTGCAATAACGGGACGGACCCCTGAAAACGACAAAAGATGATCTCCTGGCTGTTTGCAAAGGTTTTGCCCCAACGAGCCATGTCCGGGTGCCAAAAGGCAGGCACAGGCCACAGTTGCCCGAGCCTTGGGAGGGGGGGTGTCTCTCCCCCTCCCCTTCTGCCCCAAGGGCTCCTTGGTTTTCCCCAGGGGTCACTCCAGCTGCTCTTCTTCAGCTCCCCATCGGGTCGAGGTTAGGGAATGTAATTGTACCAGGTTCTTCTTGGGGGGAAAAAAAAGAGAGAGAGGAAGAGAGAGAGGAGGATGCAGGAGATCAAATTCAAGGCTGCTTTTGACAGTTGGGGGGGGCGCTTTCCATGGGATTCCTTGCAGCTCAAGAGGCCGCCGGTCTCCCTCGTTCTGTATTTTGGCGATCTGGGAGGGAAGCTGAGCAAAGGAACCACTTCCCCATCACGCTGAGAAAAACCGCGATGCAATCGTTCCATCAGAGACTGGGCTACCCGCAGCTGCTCCTGACCAGGAGGGAGAATGACTCATCCTCTCCCTGGTCCAGCTGCAGGAGGAGAACAGAACGCAGGGTCTCCTTCAGTCCACCTAGCACTACGCCACTCACACACACAAAACAAGGAGGCCCAAGAGCTTCAGGGGAATCTGGAATGAGGCCTTCTGGCCCAGTTCTCCGGCTGCCTCGGTGACTCAGCTCACCTTTTTAAGGGTGCAGTGATTTCCCGGCCAGTCGGGGAAAGGTTAAAAGAGCTGTTTTAGGGTTTCCAGAGGGCCGATTCTGGATTTTTTGGCTGTGGGAGAAGGTTGGTCCTTCCCAGTTGGTTGGAGCCTAGAAACTATCTGGAAAGTTGTCAGTGGCTCAGCCCCGATGTGGGAATTGACTGCTCGTGAGAAAGGCAAAGGACGGCATTGTAGCTTCCTAAGCTCGTAAGAAGAAGGTCTGGCAAAACCTACTCTCTGTGCCTGAGCTGCTAGCTTAATTCTGCATTGGTTGCTGCAGGTTTCATTTAATTTATCTCTTTCTCCTTCCCTCCTCCTCCTCCTCCTTCCTTTTCTTCTTCCTTCCATCCTTTTTCTATTTTTATTTTTCTTTCTCCTCTTTCTTCCATCCTTTACTCCTTCTTCCTTTCATTCGTCTCCTTTTCCTTCCATCTTCTCTTCCTTTCCTTCTTATCTTTCTCCTCTTACTTCCATCTTCCCCTTCTCTTCCTTTCATTCTTCTCCTTTTCCTCTCCTTCTCTCCTTCTATTCTTATTTTTCTCTTGCTCCTTCTCTTTCATTCTTCTTCTTCTTTCTTCCATCCTCCTTTTCCTTCTCTTCTTCCATCCTCCTTTGGCCAGAGAGCATTCAAAGCCTTGTCAATCATTTATTCTTGGATAGCCACTTTGTGCCATTTGCACATAACCTTCCTTACGGGCAAGAGATTTCCTCATCCCCCCCCCCCCCATTCCGATTCCTCCCGTTTCCAATCTTGCCCTACCAGTACAAAAACTGGGTTACCCACAGGCCCAGTGGAACCACGCACCGGCCAATTCTTAGCGTCCTTTGGCAATCGAACAGCTGCTGAGCTAGCTTATGTAAACTCTGCTCCCATTACAAGCAGTTAATTATTAATCCGTTCTTGGAACAGGCCGCCCAGGCTAAATTCACCCCAAAGGGAAAATCAAACAGAAGCACGCTCAAGAGAAAATATGGTATAGTCAAGTGTGTGTTTAAAGTTCTGCAGAGCATTCGGTCCTGCAGAGCTAAAGGCGCCGAAATCGTGCTGGTTTCCAAAGCATCCACTAAAGGCAGATTTAATATTCTTTGAAACTCTTCGAATGTTCTTTAAAAAAAAAAATTGGCTGGATTGTATCCATTGCATGCATCGTTCTCTTTTTTCAAAACTGCAAGCACCAAGCTAAAAGAATAATTGTCCAAGCGATCAATACTATGTCCAACTGGAAATGCTTTGTACGGGGTGCTGATGTAGCTAATTTAACTAATTAAAGCAGTCTTCTAAACAACTTTAGTGGATTGATGGCATCCTCTGTTCAGTTAGGAGTAGGAGAGATGCTCAGAAGTGGGTGTGTTTTCCGGATTTTTCTGGCACGTTTAAATTCTGGATAAGGATGGGCCACCACTTGGTGATGCACCGGAAGAAGCGATGGCTTCCCAAATTAAGAAAGGCCTGCCACCAACACCAATGAAATTATTTTACCCACGAATAATAATCATCACTCAAGATCCAAGTTGTTAGCCTGCTTTCCAGCTTGGCCTCAGTGGTGTAGCAGAAGCTGCAAATGCGCCATCCTTCTGTTTCCGCGTTCTTACCAATACCAAAAGTTTCCAAGATATTGCAATGAGTTGATTTGAGGCACAGAGAGTGCTTAAAACAAAGAGACTTCCCTTTGTTTGAAACCCATCCTGTGTCAGGGTTCCGACAGATGCCCTAATTAACTCATGAGCCTCGAGCCAAGTTTCAAAAGAAATCCAGTTATTTATTAGGAGCAACATGTCAGCAACTTCCCAGGTTAAGTCAACTCTGCTGCACGTAATTTACAGCTCAACTCTGATCCTGTTTCCCCCCTCCTCTCAATCTGTGTCATAAATCACTTTCTCCAACGAGGCACTTTCACAGGCTGTAGAAACCACGCCTCACATGCCTGGTTCTGGTAATCTGAGCTCCAACCTTGAAGAAGGTGTGCATGGAATGTGCTTTTGAACTGCTTCCGTCAACCCTCCCCCACTTTCCTCCCCATGGCAACTCGAGACCAGGAATGCTTTGCGAGTTGACACCTTGATTATTTTTGACTGGCGAAGAAAAAGTTACGTGGGAACTAGCTATATTTGCAAAAAAAAAAAATCTAGGGAGTGCCAGGGAAAGTTGAACCCAATGAAGCCCACCGAAGGAAATGGACACCGGTTAAAAGAGGCCCCGGGGTATTTCCGATCCGGTTCCCGGCAAGCCTTTGCAAAGAAACGAAGACGGTGAATAAGCCTTCCCAGTTCCTTTAATTAGAGGTTCACATACAACTGGTAACTGGATACAAAGCACACTCAGGTGGCAGGGGAGAAGATGGCGGTCACGTACGACAACAGCAAGGCGTCCGACAGTATCATGCACACAGAAACATAGGAACAAAACAAAACAAAAAGATGGAACAGGCTAAGCCAGACCCTCAAACGTCCCAAATGTGCATTTCCACCTGGAATAGCACTTAGATTTCTATACCGCTTCACAGTGCTTTGCAGCTCTCTCTACGCGGCTTACAGAGTCAGCCTATTGCCCCCAACAACTTGGGTCCTCATTTTAAGGAAGGATGGAAGGCTGAGTCAACCTTGAGCCGGTCAGGATCGAACCGCTGGCAGTCGGCAGAATTAGCCTCTGATACTGCATTCTAATCACTGGGAAAGCAAGGAGGAAAGGAAAGGAAAGGAAAGGAAAGGAAAGGAAAGGAAAGGAAAGGAAAGGAAAGGAAAGGAAAGGAAAGGAAAGGAAAGGAAAGGAAAGGAAAGGAAAGGAAAGGAAAGGAAAGGAAAGAAGGAAAGGAAAGGAAGGTTAAAAGGGAGGGAAGGTGGGAGGAAGGAAGGCAAGGCAAGGCAATATCACTTAGGCTTATATGCCGCTTCCCAGTGCTTTACAGCCCTCTCTAAGCGGTTTACAGAGTCAGCCTCTTGCCCCTCAACAATCTGGGTCCTCGTTTTACCAACCTCGGAAGGACGGAAGGCTGAGTCAACCTTGTTTTTAAATAATTTTACCACCCTGTATCCTTAATGGTTAGATTTTTCCTTTTCCCGGTGCCAACTGGACATGTTTAAAGATGACATTAGAACAGGTAGGAAAAAAAGAGGGCTAATGGGAACCCTGTCGTGATGGTGGAGACATTAAAAGGAGAGGGATGTTTCCCAGCAAAGCAGCTTTTGGCTAAATCCGGCAGGAACCGAACTTGCCAAGTCCCTTCGGCTTCGCTGTAGGACACGATAAACGTTCTTCAAACTGAAATGCTTTCCTGTTTTAAAAGGCAAAGAGATCTGCCTGGATTGAAAAGGAGGAGGCTTTCATTCTGATTTGCCTGCTACCTTTGCAAGCTACCTTTCTGCTATCGTGGGGCTTAAGAGGGTGATGGGTGGGAATTGCCAGGTTTTTAATACTGGACCAGGTTGGAGCCCCTCGGATCCAGGCCGATGGGTTGGGAGAAAAAATAAAACCGAATTCTACCTTACTTTCCAAGTACAGATGTTTTAGATCCAACCTTGGCCAACTTTTAAGATCTGTGGACTTCAACTCCCAGAATTCCCCACCCAGCCAACATGGGTGGATCTCAACTCCCAGAATCCCCCAGCCAGCATGTTGAGATCCCGTCCCCCATGTTAAAATCGCCAAGTTTGCAAAAAACATTTTGAGTTTTACGCTGACTTTTCTCTTTTTACACACATTTTGCAAATGCACACAGAGACATGAGACGTACTGTTGTTGTTGTTTTTTCTTTAGAGTTTGCAAAATGTTTACACATCAGGTTGCGTCTTGGCTGACGGGTTGTGCAAGAGCCAAGAAGGACAGGATGAAGTCCCCAAACAGTGTGGTTCCCTTGGCAATTTTTTGTGGTGTCTTTTTTGTTTTTTGTTTTTGCACGACATAACGGAGACGCGATGATCGGACGAGACAGAGCAGAAACGCAAATCCATTTGGACTCCTCTCTCACTCCTGGTTTTTCAACGTCCATCCCGAAGCGCTAGGCTCAACCAGAGAGGGAAGAAAAAAAATCCCTAAAGTAGTCAGAAACATTCCAGTCCCTTTCGCAGTTGGATAATAAGACTGTTTAGGATCATACGATATGGCTTCCTAAACCACACACTCTGTACAGTAAATTTTACTCCGGCATGTTTCAAGGGGAGTGAAACAGACGCCGGAAAAAGGTGCACCCCACAGTTTCAAAGGGGGTATATTATAAAAAAAGCATTTGTTCATTTGAAAAAAAAAAAGAAAAATACCCAGGCAACCGACCGAAGCTTTGCGCTGGTCGGAAAAAGGCTGCATTTCACAGTGCAACAGTCTGGGGGAGTTCGGACATCTCATTGGTCTGGGGTGAGTGGTGGGGATGGAGGGGGGAAAGGAAGGAAAGATGGACGAAGTTGCACCTGCAGAGATAAGAGTGATACAAGCAGTCGGAGGCGAAAGAGGAGATATCCGAGCAAATATTTAAAAAAGTAGCAGCATCGCAGGCCAGTAAAGATAAGGCTGACCTCCCCGTGAAGCGGACGGGGCTTTAGAACAGGCTGAAATGCCCCCTTGGCAGCAGCTAGAAAATCTGGATTGCAAAAAAGGGGAGACAAAAAAGGGTGAACAGCCAGACAAAGCCCCCCCCAACCCCCGTCTTTTCCCCCCAAAAAATCTTTCAAAATCAAGCCATGTAAACAAACAGAGAAGCAGGAGGACAATACAGGTGGTCCTTGACTTAACAACCACAATCGACATACTCACCCACCCAGATTTCAGTTGCTAAGCGGGACAGTGGTTAAGTGAGTTTTGCCCCATTTCGCGCTATCTTTCTGGCCGCCGTTGTTCGGCGAATCACTGTAGTTGTCAGTCGGATGGTTGTTAAATGAATCAGGATTCCCCCGTTGGCTTTGCTCATCAGAAGAGGTAGCCAAAGGGGATCCCGTGACTCCGAGACATTGCAGCCGTCAACAAATACAAACCAACTGCCAAGCGGGCGGATTTTGATCACGTGACAACAGAGATACTATGCAGTGGTGAAATCCAATTTTTTTTGCTACCGGTTCTGTAGGCGTGGTGTGGCTTGGTGGGTGTGGCAGGGAAAGGATATTGCAAAATCTCCATTCCCTCCCCACCCCGGGGAATGATATTGCAAAATTTCCATTCCCACTCCACTCCTGGAGAAGGATACTGCAAAATCCTCATTCTCTCCCCACTCCTCGGGGAAGGATATTGCAAAATCCCCATTCCCGGGGAAGGATATTGCAAAATTTCCATTCCCACCCCACTCCGGGTCCAGCCAGAAGTGATATTTCCCGGTTCTCCGAACTATTCAAAATTTCCGCTACCGGTCCTCCAGAACCTGTCAGAACCTGCTGGATTTCACCCCTGATACTTTGACGGTTCGTAAGTATGAGTTATGGCCGTAAGTCCCATTTTTCCAGTGCCATTGTAATTTCGAACAGTTACTAAATGAACGGTTGTAAACCAAGAACCCCCTGTATTAGAAATCCACTTCTGCTCAGAGATCCTCTTATTTTTCAGCATCAAATCTCTTCCAAGCGGGGGAGAAAATACACCTTCTCCTAATCTCCCTGGTCAGATTGACGTGTCTACAAACGGCTAATTTGAACGTTTAAAAAAATCTTCCTGAAATATCGAAAGGGTGAAAGGGTTGGGAAAATCCCTCCCTTCGCTCAGCCTGCTGTGTTGTGCGTCTGTTAAGTACAGACAGACGTGCCGTGGCTTAACAACGCTAAACGGAAGGAGCCGCTTGAGAAGAAAACCAAAAAAACCCCCTCCATCCCAGTCCTTCTTCCTAAAAGTTTCTCAGTGCCAAACCTAAAAACTGTGAGGTGTGCAGTTGCGACGTATCTACAGTTTAAAAAAAAAACGAGTTTACAACCTCCGCCGAAAGCCGCTACTCTTAATGTTGGAAAAACAAGAAACGGATTCCAGTCTTAACGGCAGGGGGTGGAGGGGAATAAATAAATAAATAACAACAACAACAACAATCTAAAAAGGGCTGGGAAGAATTTGGACGTAGCTTCTTTTTTTTATTTTCGGTTTTAGGCTGAGCAAAGATCGCCACCTCCCAGGTGCTCCGAATCGTACGGCAGGAACTGCCTTCTGCAAGTCGTGCCCAAATCGTGCTCCCTTCCCTCTGAAGGAGCAGAATCTTTTGCCTATTACACGCTTTTTTTTTTCCTGAATTAGTGCAATCCGTCAACTTCCAAACTCTTACTTTTTTTTTTTAAAAAAAAATCCTTTAATTAGAACCAGCCTTGATAAACCACCTATCCAATGGTGTGCGCATCGTACATGTAGCTTTATGTCGCCGAGTGGAAGCCGTTGAACGTGACTCGGCCCTGGAGCTGTGGCTTCTGCTTGTGGGTCCCGAGTCCTTCGAGTCTCCATGAATGAATCAAGTGGCGTTGTGATTGTAAAGCAGTGATAGTTGGCGGTGTCCCCTTCCTCGTGTCCGGGTCCCAGGGCCGGCCTACGTGAACACACGGCCCTCCTACCCACAACCTGGTCTGCTGCTGCTGCTGCTCCCAACGGTACCGGTGTATTTTCTTTGACGGTGTGTCTTCTCGTCTTTGACGGATGGCTAAGAAGAATCTGGACAGGCACATATTTACAATCTCTAACCCTGGATAAGAGCCGGAAAACGGTGGATCTTGAAGATGAGGCAGCTTGACATCTCGGTGGCAGAAGGCGGCTCCTGTTCTCAGCCCGCCCGGTTGCGCTCCACGTACCCAATGTCCCTGCCACTGTCCAGGCCTGCGTGTTTTGTGGGCGGGGGAAAAAGGAAACCCAAATCGCTCGGTTGCTCCTGGCCAGGTCACCGCCGCCCCACCGGCAATGAGTAGCACCATATTTGCCCATGAGCCCCACGCTGCTGGCCTTATTGTGGCCCCTGCTTCCGCCACCTGGGCAAGTGCAGCCGGCCATCATTGCGCCTCGGACGCCTCTACTTCTGACCCAAGTTCCCCGGTTCGAGCCTTGGGACCGTGGTTCGTCCCCAGCAGCCCGTGGCGAGACTCATACTCCGTTGGGTGCGTTCTCGGTCCCTTTCCTGGTGACTTTCGGAGTGGCTTTGCGTCCGCTCTGGACGGTAACCGGCACTGTGGCCAGCGGACACAGTGGGCTGAGAGGAGATGGTTCGCAGCAGGTGGTTCCTCTTGCGCAAGAATTCGGTTTGGCCCGGGAGTCCGAAGCTGCCCTTCCGGAGAGCCATCCGCGTGGTGTTCTTGGCAGGCCGGGAGCGATGGGTGTACTCCAGCTGGGCCAGATGGGATGCGTAGCCTTCTGTGATGAACTACGGGACAAAAGACACCAAAAACTCCTTATTTTGGGGCTTAGGGTCAAAGAACTTCTCTTTCAGATGACCTACCTACAGATAGGCTTCCTAGCCCTTTTCCTCCCCTGCCTCTCTCGATCACTGTCACCGAAGTCTTGTCTTTCCCTGTGTTTCTTCTTCCCGTATCTGATGAACACAATCCTGTTTTCCCTTTGAAAATCCGGACAAGAAGTGTTTTTTTCCCTCTTCTTTCCTAGGGAGGGTCCCTTCCAAAATGCCTCCCACCCTTTTGTGGGCTGAGACTTTTTTTATACGCCGGTTGTCCGATCTGCAGCTCTTCCCTCTGCCCCCAAGCACTGCCTGATCTGATCTGCCTAAGATCAGCTGCGATTGTCTGAACCTTTTTAAAAAAAATTTAAATCATGTTTTTTTCTACCGGTTCGAGTGAACCGGTAGTAACATTTCACACCCACTCAGTCATATGACACCCCCCCCCCAAGCCACGCCTGCAGAACCCGGTAGGAAAAAATGTGTGTATGAGCACGAGAAGGGATCATAGTGAATGCTTCTCCCTCCATTCACAGTGGAGCTGGTGCTCCCTTTATGGTCCCCCCTGGGCCCCTGGGGATCAAAGTACCTTAAAGGGATAGGCTGCAGCAGCTCCGCTGTGATTGGAGGAAGAAAAGTCTCTCCCTATAGGGTGGGGGTGGGTGGGCGGGTCGAGCATCCGGAAGGGGTGAGCGGCGAGCGTGTGGGTGTGGCCGGGGCCAACCAGGGGTGGTTTTTACCAGTTCGGCGAACCGATTCAAATCGTCCTTACCAGTTCGCTCGAGCCAGTCTAAGCCGGTTGAATTTCACCCCTGGGCTGGACCCCTTACAATAAAAGGATCTTACTTGGCATTGGTTCTGTAATTTTTTGGTGGACCGCCCGACAATGTAGATCTGTGGAGGGGGCAGGTTGATGGACGTGTAGACGGAGACATCCTTGGTGGAGCCATAGGCCGCATGGATCTTCATGTCCAGCTAGAAGAAGAAGAAGAAAAAGAAGAAAAAACCCAATCAGTTGTCAGCCTGATATGTAACATTTACGACCATTGCAGCATCCCATAGTCACAGAATCAACATTCAACAACTGATTCATGTCTATGAAGGTTGTATTGTCCCGGGGTCACGTAATCCTGTTTTGCAACCTTCTGACAAAACAAAGTCAATGGGAAAGGCAGTTTCGCTTGACAACCGTCTTATTAATTTTAACAACTGCAGGGATTCACTTAACAATGGCGATGAGAAAGGTCGTAAAACGGGGCAAAACTCACTTTACAACTCTCTTGGGTAGCAACAGAAATTTCGGGCTCAATTGTGGTCGTAAGTCGAGGACTACCTGTACTATGAAACCAATTCATGCACCTCTCTTGGCAATTTATTTCTCATTGCGTATCGAGTACGTACTCTGTATATCTCGTCAATCCCATTTAATATCTTTTCCTTGGTTTCCTCCAACACTTCCGCCAAATTCTCTCCCTTCTCTTCTTCTATATTTTGAAATCTTAAATAATAATCCGCCCCCCAAGAATGTGAATCTTGATTTCATTATAAACAGGGCTCGCGTTTGATACTCAGCAATCTCTGGATTTTTATTTTTTTTTCCTCATAATGGCTTGTTAATGTTGTGGTCCGCCAGCAGCCTGCGGAGCTGGCAGCGGAGTCGGACAGCGATGAGGCTGAGGAAGAACATGGGCCAGTCCTGGAGGCTGGGGAAGGCCCGGATGAGGGCTCTGTGTCAGAGGCAGAGATGGGGCCAGGGCCATCTGGGAGCAATGAGCAGACTCCGGAGCCTCCAGAGGCGGACAGCAGAGAGGCAGAGAAACAGGAGGAGCCTGTTCCTAGTACACGTATGAGAAGAGCTGCCAGAGAAGGCAAGAGCAACTACAGCAAAGAGGACGACTCAGGAGTAAGGCCAAGAGATGATTGGCCCCTCCCATAAGGCTTAAAAGACCAGCAATGGCTCTTGGCCTCTTTGTTGGAAAACAAAGTAGTATTGCTGCACTTATCTCTTGACAGTTAACTTTACTGAAATACAATTTCTGATCAGAAGGTCCCAGATTCTCAAAGGCGCATTTAATGAGACTCGGCCCAGACTGACCGCGACTGCTTTAACCCGCTGTGAATCCTGCTTACGTCTGTGACTAGAGACTTCAGGAAGTTCGCTTTGTGCCTCAAGGGATCATGAACCAGCCCATCGCAGAAGGAGACAATCCCGTGAGGGAAGTTGTGCTGTGCTAACCAGGCAACTACTCTCTGCTTCTGCATGTCGGGCCGGCCCGTGACGTAGATAATGAGGTAGCCAAGCTCTTGCCAGTGCCTAAGGAAGGGGAAAATGAGAAAGACGGATGAGCGGAGGGGAGAGACACAGCGAGAATATAAACACGGAAAAGGGCCTCTCGTTTTCAATTGGAAAAAATGTTCCTACTATTCTTATAGTATCCCATAAGGAGCAAGGCGGTGGTTAGAACAACGGGTGGAAAATCAGCAAGTGTTTTGAGACCTGTGTGCTGCTGTGAGATAGGGTGAGCTCCCGTCATTCGCTTCAGCTCCTAGCAGTTTGAAAGCATGCAAACGTGAGTAGATAAATAGGTATCACGTCAGAGGGGACGTGAAAGGAGCCCGCAACTGGGCATCTCCGCGGCAACAGTGATGTCACTGGCTAATCATTTCAACCCGGAAGTGCCTTGAAGCTTCCGACACGAAACCAGCAGCATGAAAATCCCCCTCTTCAGTACAACTTCCTGGCACAAATGCTCCCCACTGCTGAGCCCTCCTACCGTACGACGTCAACTGCTCCAGCCCTGACTTTGGGGTCACTGCCCATGATGGAGACGCTGGCTGCGAAAGAACCATCGATGCTGAAGACCACGAATTCGGTCCCCCGTGGTAAAACGGTTATGTAGCTATCTGCATTTGTGTGATCACCCCTAAGGAGAAAGAAAAAAAGAGAGTGAATATTGATTTCATGATATAGGTACGGTAGTCCCCGATGTATTCCTCCTCCACCCCCAGTCAGTCTTCTGAGGAAAATTAAATTGTATTTTGCCTATTTTAGGAATTGTGCTACAGTTTTGATGGGTTTCATCCTTCCAAATTAAGATCGACAGCATGCCTGCCATTTTTCAACGTCCTTGGTCAGAAGGGGGGACATGAAGACAACAGTTAAGTTCAGAAGCTACCTGAGGCTTAACCGAATAGACACCTTAATCTTCGCTGAGAGACTGAATAATTATTTATTTTTTCCTTATTTAGTTAAAGGTAAAGGTTCCCCTCGCACATATGTGCTAGTCGTTCCCGATTCTAGGGGGCAGTGCGTCATCTCCGTTTCAAAGCCGAAGAGCCAGCGCTGTCCGAAGACGTCTCCGTGATCATGTGGTCGGCATGACTCAACGCCAAAGGCGCCCAGAACGCTGTTCCCTTCCCACCAAAGGTGGTCCCTATTTTTCTACCTGCATTTTTTACCTGCTTTCGAACTGCTAAATTGGCAGAAGCTGGGACAAGTAACGGGAGCTCCCCCCGTTACATAGCCCCAGGGAGTCGAACTGCTGAACTGCCAACCTTTCAATCGACAAGCTCAGCGACTTAGCCACTGCATCCCATATTATGTTATTTAAATATTATTCCTTATTTAAGTTGTCGTAATTATGCATCTTCCTTCAAAGGGCAAAAACGGGACAGAAATCTAAAAGATAAACCATCGCTCTCTGCCTTGGGTTAAGGATGAAGACGCCAATAGCTAATCCATAATCAGGGGACCTCAGTTGCCACATCTGTGATTTTCAAGGCTATTTTTCCTACCTACCGCTCCACGGCTGTACCATTCCCTGGCAAACCTCCGTGCACAAGAACATACCTCACCACCATTTTGACAGGATATACCCCGATCCCCAGCCGTCTCTGCTCGGGAATCGTGTAGGAAACCCGTCCGCTGCTGTTGGTGATCTCTGTGTCAAAATAAACCCATTCTCCTGAGGGGGGCTGAGTCATGATGTGAATGTCCACCTGAAGCGCAAAGAAGAAGACATCTGGAATCTAGATTAGGCCCGGCACCATCTGAGTTTGAATCCCATGGTCGTACGCAGGAGTGGGATTCAGCCAGTTCGCACCACTTCGGGAGAACCGGTTGTTAACTTTCTAAGCAGTTTGGTGAACTGGTTGTTGGAAGAAGTCATTAGGGCAGAGAACCGGTTGTTCAATTATTTGAATCCCACCACTGGTCGTACGGACTATTTTCTCTTGGGTGAATCCACTGAGTTTATACTGGGGAGGGGGAGAAAACATGAACAGCCCCCGTGCAGTAGAACCCACTCCACTTTCTTTTGGTTAATCCAGCGTAAGGCTTCTCGTTCATCCTTCAAATGTGGCTCTACTTCGCTCCAATTTCAATTTTGGCTGATCGAGGGCTCTAGAGATCAATGTCTCTCTACCTTTGGCATCTTGAAGATAGGTAGACTTCAACTCCCGGAATTCCTCAGCTGGTAAGAGCTAGCTGGTGATTTCTGGGAGTTGGAAGTCCGTACATCACTTTCTTTTAGCTACATCTGGCCTCAGGCTGCTTATTGATCTTGCGGACGTAGCTCTCCTTAGCTCTAACTTCCATTCTGGTTGATGGAGAGATCTAGAATGCAGGTGTTCAACTTTGGCAGCTTTAAGGTAGGCGGACTTCAACTCCCAGAATTCCCCAGCCAGCTGCATTCGAGATTGAGAGCTCTGTGATCAATGTTTGACAACTTTAAGATAGATGGACCTCCTAGAAGGTTGGTCTGAAGGACTCTACAACCCATACCAATCCTTTCATATTCTACAAATGCCCACCGCTACACGAGCCATTACAGTTGGGGCATGAGATCTTGTAGAACCAAGCCCTCTTTGGTTCCACACACCTGCCATCTTTTCGAGCTTTCGCGGGGTCAGATCAGCAACTCACCTTCTCCCCCGTGAGCGTAACCATGTCCAATGGGCCGTACATGAACCTCCCGTTTAACACTTGGGGCCGATCCTCGTTGGCTACGGCGTCGTTGATTCGGTGATTGGCGGTGACATTCTGCCAAAAGAAGAGAAGGAGCCAACGTCGGATTTGGGATTCCCGTCGATTCCCACCACGGCAGATGCGCAATTTTATTTTGTATTTTCAACGTCTCCCACGCATACACAAATCTTGACGTGCCTTGTTGGTTGGTTGATGCAGGTTGATCAATGAGTCTGGGATGGCCATTAATCATTTTTGTGCACGGAGCTTTATTTAACTGAAGCGGGCGCTTTCTCCTGCCTGGCTGAGTGGATGCATTGATTTAAATTTGCTTTTTAATTCAACTCTCAGGGTGGCTATTGGTCCTCCCTGCCCCCACCCTTCACAGCACTGACAAATATTGGATTATACAACAGATTCTGCATGTTGCAACTCGATCTTGTACCCTTTTTCTTATTCACTTGATCGCGGCCATCGTGGTCAAAACTGTTTCATAGTTGTTGTTTTTTTAAAAAAAAAACCCTCAAAAAACCTCAGTAAAGATCCTTCGACTGTCAGAATCGGGTTTCGCTGGCAATCAAAAATTCAGGATTTATTTATCCCCTTTTGACTCTGCGGGCTGCTTTTTTGCCAGGTTTTCGCCGTACCCCAAAGTTGAACCGAATAGGCATTGAATTTATATAAATTAAATACTTCACCCTCATCCCTTTGCTCAGTGGGAAAATCCAGATCAAATTAATCTAACAAAAGAGCTTGAATTGGATGTGTAGTTTTTAAAAAGGCACTCCATTATGCATTTTATTGTTCTTAATCTGCACAGTCAGACAGTTATATTATTACTCCTACTCTCTGAATTAATGGTACCACTCTCGTCCAGGTTCTTAACACAAAATTGTAATTTGGGGCTTTATCGTCCTTCTCTGTCCCCTTCCCTCCCCCAATTTGGGGCCCTGGCCGATGGCGGTAACCAACGCAACCCACCCGTAGCTTGACATGAGTCCGTTTACGGAGCCATTTCTCCCTGGGTTTGGAAGGCGTGAAGACGGAGACCTCTTTCCCGTCCACTTCAAGGATGCTACTGTTTTCATGACGCATCACCTGAAAGATGAAATGGAGTTTGCCGACGCTGAGGTGCCATGTCTGATGAACGGGCTCCCAACCTTGGCACGACCCAAAAAGGCCGGTGTACAAACGTCCAAGGAGTCCAGGACCCACGCCAAGTCCATGATGGGCAACTGGCACTCGGCGGAGGGATGAAAAAGATATTGGCAGGAGGATTCTCACCTGTCGGAGGAGGAAGGAGACCACGTCTGTGGATTCCCAGTAACTGGCGTGAAAGAGATGTGGTAAGGCAACTGTGGGGAAGGCGGTCAGCGCATCCGGGCAGTAGAGAGCGTAGTCAATCCTTTTGGTTCCCCACCACTTGGCCGCAACTAAGAGCAGAAAGAGATCCCGTTGGGTTTCTGCAAAACATCTCAGCTTTCCATCTCTGTCAACTCCTAAGAGGGTGGACCATCCAGGAGAAGGTTCAAGAAAACTCCCTTGGTCTGTCCACATCCGTCCTACAAAATGTTTGGCCAACGGCTCTTCTCAGACCATGGAAGGTCCAGGAGGAGCTGTCCCAGCCACCCTCCTGGGAAAGTCACCAGATTGACCTTCCTTGCGGCTTTGATTTTTGGGAACATACCTTGAGGGACCGATTTCTGAATCTTATACAACAAGATAGCCAACATTAGAGCTTCAAAGAAAGGACAGAAAGAGAGGCTGGCCTGGATTAGAAAGCCCTCACTTGTTTATTCAGTGTAAGCATTCTTGGAAATTTAAATGGAAAGGGCCAAAGAACTGGCCTGTAAGGAGAATTCCTGGATTTTATGACCAGAAAAGCAAACTAGCTTGGTCGATTTTATTTCTAAATCAAATTTATGTAGCCTCCAACTCACAAGAAGGGACTTTGCTGGTCTTCACTCAATTCCTTTTTTTAAAAAAATGTTGCTCTTAATTCCAGGAAAAATCCACCTCTGAGATGATAATCGACAAAGACATCAAGTGGGACCACATATGGCTGAGCTCTCAATATCCAACTGACAGTTGGGAAAGCAAAGCAGGAGCTTCCAAGCCAAAGGATTTCTGCTTTTTCAGGCTCACAAAATATTTAAGGAATCCTCCAAAGCAGGGTACTCAAGAACCAGCCTTTCCTTCCCAATAAACAGCTCAAGAGCTTTGTTAATCGGAGGACACGGGGAGTGTAGAACGTTAACATGAATAGGAATGAGCTTGACTCTCTCTGAAGGGCTGTTAGTAGCATATCGGTTAATCTCCAGAGCAAGCGTCAGAAGAGTGGGTTTGTTAAAACAGAGAGCAAGATTTGAGAAAGGCCTCCAGTGAAGATGGTTTTTGGGTTCTGGAGACAGCGAAAGAAGAGATAAAGCAATTGCTCCATTTTGATCCCTTTCTCCTCGCTCTCCAGAATACCTTTGTGGACGTCGAGATCTGGAATCAGGCGAATGGCCTCCGTTTCCCCGTGGAGGGAGCTCTCAAACCTTCGTCCTAAAGGATTCGGGGATCTTTCGGGTTTGAGCCCCCCAGTTCTCTGGGGGAAGGACTGGTTGTGGGGTTTGTGGGGGAGCGCTAGGAGTGCCAAAAGGCTAAAACCTCTGGAGTGGTTGAGATGGTGTTTTTTCTCTACAAGGAATCACATTTTCGAAAAGAGAGAGAGACGGAGAAAGACGACACAAAAATAAAACACACGCTTTTGTTAAAACACACGGGGAAACATGCAAAAATATATATATAGATTTTTGACCACTAATAAAGCATTGGGGTTGTAGAATGCGTTCAACCATATATCGGATGAGTTAAAAGTCAATCACCCCTTGGACTTCGGAGTTGGAAATTTGGGATCTTGGGTTTAGCTGATGAATCAGGACAGGAAGTCGAAAAGGGAAGCAACTTTTGAAAGTTATGCCTTCTTAAACAAGGGTTTGTGCTTTGTTCTTTGGGGTTTCAGGAATTCTGGGAGGGTCAGAAAGCAGAGTTGAAAAACTCTGAAGGCCAGTGAGTTGGAGATGACGTTCTCTCAACCTGAGAACAAAAATGGACATTTTCACTTCTTATTTATTGCAATATGGCTGTGTTTCTCAACCTTGGCAACTCTAAGAGGCTGGAGGAACCTCAAGTCCCAGAGTTGAACTCAACACATCTGAGTTACCGAGCTTGACAAACTCGGCAGTACGAGCTCTGAATTTGTAAGGATTTTGCTTTTTTGACTGTGAGGGACACGTTGGCATCCATTTTGGGTGCTAATCGCTCCTCGGCCCTTTCCTTCTTTTGCAATACCTTGAAAAGCTCCATGTTTATTCCCAGGCTTGGAGAACTTCGGAGAGGAGCAGTAGAAGGCATCAGCTGATGTTTGCAGGGGGTTGAGGGAACTAAGCATGGGGCAGGCTTATTTCCGTGGGGGAAAAACACTTACTGTTGGCTATGTTGGAAGCAGTGTAACTGTCGGCCATTCCGGACACTTGGCTGACAATGCTCACTTCACTTGCTCTCCGGAAGGCCCTGAACTGGGGGGCGGAAACGGGAGCAGACGGGGAGGTGTTTTCCACCAAGACGCCACCATGAGACTGAACAACATCTGCTACAGGGACGAAACGGGGAAAACGAGAATATTAAACCCAACCACAAACACACAAAGACAACCAGGATGCCATAAATACGTCAAGAAATTGTTTTAGAAAAGAAAGAAAAGAAAAAAAGCAGGCAGACATACAAAATTAGGCGGGATGCCACCACGGTGGACACCCAATCAAAGCTCTTGGAACCAACACCATAGAAAAAGCTTTGGTAGGGAAGCACCAAGGGGAAAAAATTAGGTGGACATCTTATGGCGAAAGCATCAAAACAGGATCTCCACAGCCATGGAAACCAACAGAAAAGAAGCTCAACGAATCTTCCTCAGAAGGAAGGAGAAACATCTAAGAATTCCACCCGAGTGCTGGAATGACTCACACCAAACAGGCACAGTTTGTGGAGAGCAGAGTTTCTCAACTATGGCGACCTTAATTCTAAGAGATGAAGTCCACATATTTTAAGGTCATCAGGCAGGCTGGGGAATTCTGGGAGTTGAAGTCCATACATCTTAAGGATGCCACGCTGGCTGGGGAATTCTGGGAGTTGAAGTCCATACATCTTAAGGATGCCACGCTGGCTGGGGAATTCTGGGAGTTGAAGTCCATACATCTTAAGGATGCCACGCTGGCTGGGGAATTCTGGGAGTTGAAGTCTCCATATCTTAAGGTTGCCAGGCAGGCTGGGGAATTCTGGGAGTTGAAGTCCACATATCTTAAGGTCGCCAGGCAGGCTGGGGAATTCTGGGAGTTGAAGTCTCCATATCTTAAGGTTGCCAGGCAGGCTGGGGAATTCTGGGAGTTGAAGTCCACATATCTTAAGGTCGCCAGGCAGGCTGGGGAATTCTGGGAGTTGAAGTCCCCATATCTTAAGGTCATCAGGCAGGCTGGGGAATTCTGGGAGTTGAAATCCACATATCTTAAGGTCATCATGCTGGTTAGGGAATTTTGGGAGATGTGTCCATACATCTTAAGGATGCCACACTGGCTGGGGAATTCTGGCAGTTAAAGTCCACATATCGTCAAGTTGCCGAGGTTGAGAAACGCTGCTCTAGAGGGGCTTCGTGAGTAGACTCCAAATCTGAATGGGAAGGAGGCATTTCTGATCCTTCCTGAAGCCCCTCACCGGGATTGGAGGAGAAAGAGAGAGAGAGAACAAGGCAACCCAAATAAATCCTACAACTCAAACAAGCCATCCACAAGCTCACAGATATGCCATGCAGGAGAGCTGTTGGGATGGGGGGAGAGAAGCCTTGAGCAGGACGGGAGAGAGGGGAGGTCGTGAAAGCTTTCCCAAGGAGCAAGAAAGGTGGTTAATTTGCTAAAAAAAATTAAGTAGGTTTGGAGGCAGCCCCTGCAAACAATAAATGCAAGCTTGGCTATTCCTGGCCACATCAACCCAACTGAAATAAGCCAAAGAACTCAACTTGGCCATTCGTTGAGTTCTGGAGAAGGTGGCCCTCTGTTCCTAGAACTTCCATCATTCTGTGCCCACCAACGTCAAGCTGAGTTACATCCACACATTGAAATACTACACAAAGTTGACTTCTAAGCAGACGTTGCTGCAGCTTCTCCCTGAAGCCTGGCTGGCACCTTCCAGATGTCCTGAGCTACTGTCACCTCAACCAACATGTCAGTATTCTGGTTCCTGATGGGGGACAGTAGCTCAGCACATCTGGAGGGCAGAGGTGAAATCTAGCAGGTCCTGGAGAACTGGTATCGGAAATATTGAGTTGTTTGGAGAACATACCACCTCTGGCTGGCCCCAGAGTGGGGTGGGAATGGAGATTTTGCAGTATCCTTCCCCTGGAGTGAGGTGGGAATGGAGATTTTGCAGGATCCTTCCCCTGCCACGCCCACCAAGCCACGCCCACCAAGCCACACCACGCCCACCAAGCCACGCCCACAGAACCGGTAGTAAACAAATTTGAATTCCACCACTGCTGGAGGGGCTCAGCTTGAGAAAAATGGCTGAAACAACATGGGAAATGTTCATCTTTAGAGGAAGATTGTTCAAGATGGATATTGATTTGGGGGGATCTATTATCTCCAGCAACGCAAAGAGTTTCTGCTCAGGGACAGAAGCTTCTCTACCTACCTATTCTGATCGCACGGCCACGGGGACCGTCGTAAGTGCCAGGTTCATTCGTAAGTCACATTTTCTTCCAAATCCATCATAATTTTGAACGGTCCCTAAACGAATGGTGGTAAGTCGAGGCCTACCTATATCCAGTTGCCTTTTCCTACCCTGTTTCCCCAAAAATAAGACATCCCCTGATAATAAGCCCAATCGGGCTTTTGAGCGCATGCACCTTCCCCCCCCCAAAATAAGCCCTCCCCGAAAATATTTAAACGCAGAGCTGGAAATCAGTTAAGATGACAGGAATAGCCCCACGTGCCCCAAAATAATAAGACCTCCCCGAAAATAAGGCCAAGTGCTTATTTCGGGGTTCAAAAAAATATAAGACAGAGTCTTATTATCGGGGAAACACGGTACTCGAGCGGCTGCAAATTCTTTGTGTATTTAACCCAGAATTGTAAATACCCCAAAAGCCACTCTTAATTTTTGTTTCCCCCCCCTTCCTCTTTCGTTCCCCTCTCCTGCTTTCTTCCACGTTCTCCGTGGGCCTGTCTGCTACTGGAAAAGCTTTCAGGATGGGATGGGATCTTCAAGCATTAGCCACCACTCCGAAAACACCACACGAGACCAAATGGGGGAAGGTTCAGATCACACACACTCAGCAAATCCAGAATTTTTATTGGAAACGTCTTGCCAGTTCAAGGTGGGAACGGGGATACTGGTTTCCATGAAGTTGTCCTGGTTCTGAAGAGCAACCAGGAGGTTGCTTTCAACGAGGAGGGCAGGGTTGTTCTGGACCGTTTCCACTAGAACAGACGGGGAAGAAAACAAAAGAGGGGCACCAAGAAAAATAAAAAAACAAGAAGACAAGAGACATGTGGCCACAAGCACTTGGAACAAGACATTCTACAACCACTGTCAACACCATCTTCTACACGAGTTTGGATACTGGAAACAAAGCTTCGGTGGTAGACCATGGCAAGGCCTGAGCAGATATAAAAGGCTGGTGGCCCAACACCGAGAGCAACAGCAGAAAAGCAGATAAGTGGACCAATAACTGCTGTGGTGGTGAGGTCCACATCCAGACTTGGAAGTCCAGTGGAGAGAACAATACCAAGGAGTTATTTTTTGTTTAGGAACAGGGAGAAGTCTGGATGGAATCGCGTTCCATCCATCTCTGTCCATCTTGTTTGTTCTCCACTTGGACATCAACCCATCTTTTATATCTGTTCAATGGTGGTCCATAATCCAAAACACAGATGTTCTCTTAACCACATTGTCCTGGACCAAAAGCAGAAGTTGGGGGCAGCTCATGGACACGTGAGACCAGGGGCATAAAACCAGGATTCATGGCTCTGCCGAACGTTTCCTTTGTCGGTGGTACATTTTTTTCTGAAGTCCCAAGATATGAACACTTCAGTTGAGTTCCCACCCATCCTTCAGAGATTGGATCTAATTATCAGGTTGGACCTGAAAGACATCTCGAGCAGACGACGGTGGATTTTAGCTAAGAGCAAAGATTTTAAGGCCTGTCTCCAGGAGCTTCTACACACCCGTAGGGAGAAAGCTAACATTCTACCATCCCTGTTCCATCAGCCAGCTGTATTTGCTTGTTAGCCCAAGATTCAATATTTGATCACCACTGTGCTAGAGACCATTTCAAAAGCAAATCCCACAGCGTTTCCCCCATGGGACGTAAGCTTGACAGCAATTAATTCCTGATGGCTGACTCAGAATAGCGTGTCCTTCACATGAAGAAAGGCTCTATGACAGCTGGAGACAAGGGTGACTCTACAACGAGGATTAAAACCCTAGGAAAATGCCACTGCTTGCGTTCCTCAGGAAAACAAAGAGTCTGGGACACATGTATCTTGTCAACCAAAGAGTCTTATATCTTGGCCATCTCGGCTGGATTTGATTTTCTCCAAATCTCCAGCTTCACCGGGGACGTAAGGAAATCTGGAATTGCAAATCACTGCTTCCCCAGCCTAGAAGACAATATGTGGACCCAGGGGTGAAATCCAGCAGGTTCTGACAGGTTCTGGAGAACCGGTAGTGGAAATTTTGAGCAGTTCGGAGAACCGGCAAATGCCACCTCGGGCTGGTCCCAGAGTGGGGTGGGAATGGAGATTTTGCAGTATCCTTCCCATGGAGTGGGGAATGAATGGAGATTTTGCAGTATCCTTCCCATGGAGTGGGGAGGGAATGGGGATTTTGCAGTATCCTTCCCCTGGAGTGGGGTGGGAATGAAGATTTTGCAGTATCTTTCCCCTGGAGTGGGTGGGGATGGAGATTTTGCAGTATCCTTCCCCTACCATGCCCACCAAGCCACGCCCACTAAGCCACACCATGCTCACAGAACCAGTATTAAAAACATTTGAATTCCATCACTGCGTGGGCCTCAGATTCCTAGAGGAACATCTTGGCCCTGTCTAAACTTCTTCTCGCTGGCAAGAGACACTTCAGGAATTTAAAGCAGGTGCCGCTCACCCTATCACCTGCCTGCTTTTAAATTAAAGATAAAAATGGGAGGGGGGGAAAGAGAAAACAATGACCTTACCCAGAAGGGCTGAATTGCCATCCCCAAGAGGGAACCGCTGGTAACGTGGGATGTTGAAGGGCGGTAAAATATGGAACTTCTTCTCTAGAAGAGGCTCCAAGCGAGAGGCCGAAGGATCAGCTGGGTGGAAGAGGTTGTAGACTTGCTGGCAGGCTGGTCTCAACTGGAAGACTAAGCCATGGAGAGAAGAGAAAGAGTTGGCCAAGGGGGCAGGATATTGAAACCATAGTCCACAGCTCTGCTATCTCGTGGACAACCCTCTTCATTGGCTCTAAAGTTCTTCCGGATAAGAAAAAGGGTTAAAAATTTGGGAGAGAAACTACAAGCTGACGATGGCCGCGGCATATAAAGAAAACCTGTACAAAATGTTTTATAGGTGGCACTTGCCGCCAGCAAGATTGGCCAAAATGTATAAGAACTCCTCCGCCAATTGTTGGAAATGCAACCAGACTCCAGGAACATACTACCACATGTGGTGGCCATGTAAGAAAGCAAGGAGTTACTGGGAGAAAATTCATCATTGGTTAGAAATGATAACTGAGCAACATATTGAGGTCAAACCAGATACAGTACTTAGGTATAATATACTCTTAGGTATATTGTTGCAAAGTTATAACAAAGCAGCCATTTTACTTAGTGTTACATATATTGACAGCAGCTAGAATTACATATGCTAAATATTGGAAAAATGTGAACACTCCACCGGATGATGACATAATTAGGAAAATTTGGGATTGTGCAGAAATGGACAGATTAACTTTAAAAAATTAAAGATAAAAAGACTTGAAATATTACAGGACATGGAATAAATGTTATGAATGGATAAGTGAGAAGAGGCAGAAATGAGAGAGAAGTTTATACAACAAACTTCTATAAAACTATGGATATAATATGGAGAAATTTGTAAATAAGCTAATGTAAGTAGAAACTTAGTTGAAGTTTTCTTTTATTTTCTTTGGGGTTTTTTGGGGGGTTGTATTGTTGCAATTACTGTTAACACAGTTCAGTTATAGTTATTAGCACGTATGTTGTTTATCATTTATCTTTTTCTGGTTGTACTTTATTTGCATTGTGATCCTGACGTGGCACTGTCTTTTCAATAAAATAAAATAAAATTAATTTTTTTTTTTTTTAAAAAGTAAAAGTTATTCCAGATAGTTAAAGTTAATGGGTTACATCTTCAGAATAGAAATCGAAGGAATATTTGGAGAAGATGCTCTTTCTTAAACCCTGTTGGGTCTCAGTGCTCCTTAATTCAGCGCGCAACCCGCAACCAATTGGGTCACCTGTGTTATTTATTTGTTTGTTTGTTTGTTTGTTCAATTTATATGCCACCTTTCTCCAAAGACTCAGGGTGGCATGTAAATTGAACTAACCAGATGCTCACAGGAGAAGAGCGAATTAGGATTTTAAGGAGGAGTTACCCCAGATTTTATTGTGACCGCTCGGCTATATAATGGCTTACGTTATAACCGTGTAATTCATCACATTATGTATTATAATCCACCTCCTCATCCGATTCGGCTGCCGGAGGGGACGACGGCTGACAGGCCTCCACAGAAGGGGATTTTTGCAAGCACGAGGTCAAGGTGAGATGATTTTACAGCAACCTGTGCAACTCTGAATGTTTATCCTTTAAAAGATGCTCATGTTTGGCCTCGGGAACTAATTCTAGCATTCCAAGTTTGCATCTCTGCTCACAAAACCCATGAAAAGGAAGAGGTGGAGGCCTCCTTCCCCCCCCTCCCCCGCCCCCCAGGGAACCTACTGTCAAGAGTTGGTATGATGGTTTTTCGTAAGGCAAGGACCAGCCCCAGCGGACAGCCAAAGAGGAAGAAGTCGGTGATCTCAAACTCAAACTTCCCAAGATTCCCACCGTCCAATTGAGTGGAACTACTCGATCGTCGTGATCCCGGAAAGTTCTTCAGGGCACTCGAATGTAAACTAGAGAAGGGGAAAAAGGAGGAACGTCAGCAGAAAGCATGTTTTCCAGAGGGACAATCGGGGAAAAAGTTATTTATTTAACAAATGCATTTAGACATCATGCGCCGGTTGACGAGACATGCAATTTTCCTATAGGGAATGCCAGAAAAATGCCTAGGAGCATCATGGACAGAGGACATTTCCAGAAGTCGTCCTTGACTTTTTGTTGCAAAAGGCAACTGAACTTCCTTGTTCATTTCTTTGAAAACGTTTCGCTTCTCGCTCAAGAAGCTTCCTCAGTTCCTACGCCTTTGGGACCACCCGTGACGTGCACGCTTGAGAATCTACCACACAGACACTCGACTCACAACTGTTCAGACTTATTAACGCCATTAAAACTTTTGACCACAATGGGCGGGTTCCATCCCAGTCAAAAACTTGAGGACTAGCTGCTTAAAGCAGCAGAAGAATGAAGTAACCGTCGATTTTGTGGCACAATGGTGCCGGACATCACACCCCATTATGGTGGGATTATTTTGATTGCAGAATTTAAATTTAGAAGAAGGGATTATTCGACAAAGCTCTGCCTTTCTCATTACTTTTTGATTGTTTTATTTACCATATTTTTCGGACTATAAGACGCGCCTAAATTTAGAAGAGGAAAACCAACAAAAAAAGTGCCCCCACCTTACGTTCTAGATTTTTCTACGGTAACACAAAGCGGCGTGTGCAGCTTACCTATTTCTTCCTCAAGGAAGGTGTTGGGGGCAAGAAGGGGGAGGGGTTAAAAGGGGGAAGGGGTTAAGAGAAGAGAAACAAGAGAGAAGAAATAAGAGAGGGAAGTGAAAGAGGGGAAGGCAATCTCGACAGGCTCGCGTACAACCGTAATATATATATAATATTTGTCAAATTCAGAGGCCGCCCGTCAAGGTAACTCTGGGCGGCTTGCAATCGTGAAAGATAAAAACTATGTAAACATAAATAATTACGTTTAGGACCATCTTAAAACGAGGTTCTCATCGTTATGAACCATCCAGACTTGTTTGCCGGGTGATCTACAGAGCTGGGGAGGCCATTAATCACAAGGAGGGACTTTCAACGTGAAGGAGTTATAACTTTCCTTTTCCTCCTCCGAGGCTGGAGGAAGTCAACAGCCCCTCCACATTATTTAGCGCAAGGAGCAAAAACAAAAGCCGCGGAATCCGATTAATCTTCGGAATAATACCGAAGGGAATTTTCCTACCGATGGGAAACACGCAAAATAAAATGGATGGCGGTATGGCTGAGCGAACAGGCATCCTTATCGGCTTGAAATGATCTGCCCAGTTGCTGGGCAGATCATTTCAAGAGGGGAGCGGGGGATCCATTGATCAAGTCTGGAGGACCCCAAGGAAACCTCGGTTCAAGTCCCCACAGAGCTCGCTCAGCGATCGGAGCCACTTCCTCTCTTATCTCAACATGCCCTGCCTCATCACAGCGTTGATCTTGCTGGGATAATATTAGGGGAGACCTGGCACCCCCAGAAAACTGCAAGAAAACCACCAAGCGCAGGGAGCTCCAAGGACCCCACAATCCTCGTCCACCTCCTCCTCCTCCTCCTTTTTCTCTTCCTCCTTGTCTTTGCAAACTCCACCCCTGCCTAGCCCTGATGACGTTCCCTAGTTGGGTCAGGAAACATCTGCAAGAAAACCACCAAGCTCAGAGAGCACCGAGGACCCACAGTCCAACCCCGAGCTACAAATCCTCTCTTCTTCTGTTGGTACTCCAAGGAAAACGTGGCGCCCAACCAGAGCAACCTCATTGGCTCCCCAAAAGCTACCTGGACAGGAACGCCTGGTGCTGCTTCAGGGTGTCCAGCTCGAAGGTGGACGAATCGCTCCTTTTCCGCAGCAGCTGCTGCTTCTGGAGATCTTCCTCGTTGCTGCGCGGCAGGTCGGCCGTGCTCCGGCTGAGATGCCGGCTGGCTTCCAACCCACACCCTTCCGAGCAGTAGCTGTTGTTCACCAGGATGCCGGGAGACAAGAGATCCGTGTCCTGGAATTGGAAGGACACAGTCCAGGTCATCAGACTCTTGAGAAAGGGCAGAAGGGCGTCCAGGTCTGTTGGAGAAAGAAGGACATCCGCGCACGGCCTGAACCGCCAGCTCGACAGGCGGCAGCGGATGGAGCGGCTGACACCTCGCTTCTTTGGCTTTCCACTTAGCAAGCAATCCGACTCTCTTTGTGGCTGCTGTGGTTTTAACCGCCAGCCCAGAGGGGAGAAAGTGAAGCTGAAAAGATAACTGGTGCCCGTCAAGCATTTGCATCCCCGTGGAAGGATGCAAAATGTCCCCCGTCCCCCCCAGTAGTAGATGAGCTAATATCGATTAATTGCAATCTTCATGTTCATCTCCTTTTAATGGCCCTATAATCCCTTGAGTGTTTACTGGCCTGTTGCCTTTCCTGTCGCCAGTACGGAGTTTTGTTCAGCAGATAAGATTCTCATTGTGCCCAGAGAGAGAAATATCTGCCTCTACCTAGGATCGAACTCACAGCCTCCTGATTGTGAGGCGAGACCTCCACCTCTAAGGCCACGCACCACTCGATCCTCATATTTATCATATTAATATTTTAGCGTTGTAAACCAGGGGGTCTCCCAACTTGGCCACTTTTAAGACTTGTGGACTTCAACTCCCACAATTCCTCAGCCAAGGAATCCTGGGAGTTGAAGTCCACAAGTCTTAAAGTTACCAAGTTTGAGGCCTCTGTTTTTTTTTTATTTTATTTTATATGACCATTTTAATCTTGTAGCAAGCCACCTATAGTTGCTTGACGATGAGATGGGTGCCATATAAATTTAATAAATAAATAGATAAGCTAAGCAGGTTTATGTAACTCAATGCTGGCCTTGCAGAGGTGAAATGGGAGAATTACCCCGAGAAGGAATTACGGAGACCTTATGCCTTCTGGAATTGTTATTTTAGGCTCTGTGTCTACCTCGGAGCCTGCCCAGTTTCCAGAGAGTGTCCGTAATTCCTCCTCGGTGTAATTCCCAAAGGATTAGGGCCACGATAAAGAAACAGGCAGAGTCGGGGACAAAGCTAAACCCAAGATAAATAGAACGAAAATCTCTTAATATCGTCACTTACCATGCGTTGCGCTGAACATCATAATTCAGCGGCCCTATTCAAGTTGGCCCTGGGGTCTCTCAATTGGGGTTTTGAGGATCCCGGATTCTGAACCAACCTGGTTTGATTTCCATTCTGTCCAAAACCAGCTCGAGAGATCGACTTGCTTACCTGCACGCTGATGAGACTTCCACGCCGGCTACTGTTTTGACTCTCCAGCATCGTCTGGTTGCTGTAACAAAGGGCGTCGAAGGCCAGGATCCCTCCCACGCAGTCCCCGATCAGGCACACCTGAGGAAAACAAACCCCCATACCTGGTTACTTCTCTGAGGGACACCAACTCAAGTTCCCAATCGAAAGCAGAGAATGAAAGGTAGGGTTTCCCAACCTTGGGCATTTCCAACAGTGGTGGACTTCAACTCCCAGAATTCCACTGCCAGCATAATCATGGAGGAGGCTTCTGGGAGTTGAAGTCCACACTGCTGGAAATGCCCGAGATTGGGAAACATTGAGTCTAGAGGCGATGGGTATTTCTAGAAAGTCATGTCTGAGGGCTTTCTAGTGGGTCCACCTTGAAGACCACAAATTTAGATTAAGGAGAGTGGACCCAGCTGTGTTGTCTAATGCCAGATGTTGACGAAGGCCACCTTCATCCATGGCTACATGGAGGGCCCATTGGCTAAGCTTAGAAAGAGAAGAAACCTGGTTTCTAATGATTTCCTCAGGTGGTGGTAGAAGCATCTGGTTTGGTTTCAGCTCATAAAGATCTAGGCCGCTGCAGCCTAGAGCTTCTCCTTTACCCATTAATGTTTTCTCTCTCCTCCAAAGTAGTATGTGGCTTCTAGAACATTCAATTGGGAAGTTCATGCTGGTGAGAAGAGTCCAAAAATAGGACAACTAAGGTCAAGAATGAGTAGACACCTCTGTTTCTCCCATTTCATCTTGACCAGTGGAGATTCTAAGGATCACCGGTGGAGTTAGAGGAGTGAACATGTTGATTTCAAGGACTCTGGAGATGAGGTCAAGGTCTATGTTGAAAGTCTACATCTTGCCTAGTTTAGTCCTGGCGTAAGGAAAGAAGCCACAGCCACAATTTGATCCAAGCTGGTGTCCCTCAGCTGAGAGTCAATGCCAATGACGTCTTCAAGAGCCATCCAGTTCCTGACAGATTCAATCTGCAGATCGACTCCTTTCAGTAACAAGTAACAGAGTTGGAAGGGAGCTTGGAGGTCATCTAGTCCAACCCCCTGCTCCAGCAGGAGACCTCTACTAGGGATTCGAACCGCCGAACTGCCGACCTTTCTGATCCACAAGCTCAGCATCTTAGCCACTGAGCCACGTAGTCAATAACTGGGAGTTATTTAATAAGCCAACGGACTTAGTATTGATTTTTTTTTTTATCTTAAATCAATCCCAGTTCAACTATCTGTTTTGATAAACTTCCGCCGGCCGGGAAAAAGGATGGCTGGCTTATCTCTTGACGACGGAGGCCACCCGATGCTCACCTGGCCGTTGAAGGATGCACCTTCTTGGGACTTGATGAAGTCGCCGTACACCTGATTGGCTCTCAGGATCACCGTGGCAACCGCCTCTTGGTACTGCGGGGAGGAAGTGGCCAGGAGAGGAAGCGCGGCGAGGGGGATGTGATCCTGGCTACTGCAGAGGCACCCTTCGTCGTAACTATATGGGCTGAGGCTACGGAGAGGAGGAAGAGGAACGTCAATCAGTAACAGTAACAGAGTTGGAAGGGACTTTGGAGGTCATCTAGTCCAACCTCCTGCTCACTCAGACCTGTACTAGGAATTCAAACCGCAGAATTGCCAAACCTTTCTGATCGGCAAGCTCAGTGTCTTAGCCACTGAGCCACCTAATCAGGCGCTCTTTCCTTTCTACCGTGTTTTCCCGAAAATAAGACGCGGTCTTATATTTTTTTTGAACCCCGAAATAAGCGCTTGGCCTTATTTTCGGGGAGGTCTTATTATTTTGGGGCGCGTGGAGCAAGACGGGGCTCCTCTTGCCGTCTTCCCTGATTTCCAGCTCTGCGTTTAAATATTTTCGGAGAGGGGAGGCTTATTTTAGCGCATGTGCTCAAAAGCCCGATTGGGCTTATTATCAGGGGAGTGTCTTATTTTCGGGGAAACAGGGTAGGAAAAGACAACTGGATATAGGTAGGCCTCGACTTACCACCATTCGTTGAGGGACCGTTCAAAATTACGATGGATTCGGAAGAAAATGTGACTTACGGATGAACCGGTCTCTGAGCTACCCTATCCCACCAATAATGTATTCCTTATCTACGGGGAATTTCCCAACGCTCTGTCTAAAATGCAGACATCGGGGGCTTTTGCTAGGACCCAGACCTTTGCCAGCTGCTGCACCCCGGGAAAGGAAACGGGTGGCTTTTATAAATGGGTTGCAGTCTAAACATGGACTGGAAGAAGCGCTGGCAGGAGAGGAGAAGACGCGCCCCGTAAATGATAAATGAGTTAAGAAATAAATGGGCTCTGAGCGATGATGGCTCCAGGCTGCGGCTGAGCCCGGGTGAGTCATCCTGGCGGTGTGAAGTAAGGCTCCCTCTGAAATGGGGGGATTGATGGGGCGCATCTGTAGAGGGAGGGAGGGAGGGAGGGAAGGAAGGAGGGAGGAAGGAGGGAGGGAGGGAGGAAGGAAGGAAGGACAGGCAAATGAGAGAGAAGGGAGGGAGAGAAGATGGAAGGACAAATGAGAGAGAAGGGAGGGAGGGAGGGAGGGAGGAGGGGGAAGGAAGAAGGAAGGACAAAGGATAGAGAAGGGAGAGAAGTTTCTCTATCTCTGGATATTTTTAAGAAGAGGCTGGACAACCATCTGTTTTAAGGAAGATTTATTTGGGTTGGGCTGCATCTTGCAGAAGATCAAATTTCCAATTCTGCAGGAAGGAAGGAAGGAAGAAAGAAGGGAGGGAGGAAGGAAGGAAGGAAAGAAGGGAGGAAGGAGGGAGGGAGGAAGGAAAGAAGGAAGGAAGAAAAGAAGAAAGGAGGGAGAGGGAGGGAGGAAGGAAGGAAAGAGGGAGGGAGAAAGGAAAGAAAGGAAGAAAGGAGGGGGAGGGAGGAAGGAAAAACAGACAAATGAGAGAGAAGGGAGGGAGGGAGGGAGGGAAGAAGGAAGGACAAAGGATAGAGAAGGGAGAGGTGTTTCTCTATCTCTGGTTATTTTTAAGAAGAGGCTGGACAACCATCTGTTTTAAGGAAGATTTATTTGGGTTGGGCTGCATCTTGCAGAAGATCAAATTTCCAATTCTGCAGGAAGGAAGGAAGGAAGGAAGAAGGGAGGGAGGGAGGAAGGAAGGAAAGAAGGAAGGAAGGAAGGAAGGAAAGGAAGGAAGTGAAGGAAGGAAGGAAAGAAGGAAGGAAGGAAGGAAGGAAGGAAGTGAAGGAAGGAAGGAAGGACAAGCAGGCAGAGAGACAGGCAGACACAGCAGATACATGGCTGGATGAAGATAGCTTAATGGTGGTGGAGACTTAAGTTTTGCCCCATCAGGACTTAAGGAAGTCTCTCCCCCAGTCCCATACACACAGCCATCCAAAGCAAAGCCAGATGTGAGGTCCACAGCTGGCGCCTAAATCCACGGAACAATAAAACAAAACCAGAGATCTGGGATTGCCACCAAGACTCCTTTGGAAAACAGCCTGCCCCTTCCTTCCCCTAAATCCTATCCCATCTTCCAAAAAAGAAACAAAAACCCCAAGAAGTCCACTCACTTGGAGACCAGAGAAAACGCTTCCGAGCAGATGGCCGGACAAGGGACCAGTTTGATGGCTATCCGGCCAAGGGTGGCCGGGTAATGGACCCGGATGACGGTATCGAAGGCGGTGGCGATGGTGTTGACATCTCCCTGCTTGGAGCTCTGCTCCCCGCTTCCCGTATCCAGGATGTTGCCTCCGTGGAGGACCAAAAGGAGGACGTGGATTGGGCTGGGTTGCGCCAGCGGAGGTGCCGCTTCATCCTGGAAAGACGAGGGGGAGGAAGACCAGATTCAGATCAAGCGGATTCTCAAGGACCTGTTGGAGAAGTAGGAAGTTTGCGGGGGTGGAGGGGCAGTGGTAGGTTCCAAAATTTTTTTACTACCAGTTCTGTGAGTGTGACTTGGTGGGCGTGGCAGGGAAAGGATACTGTAAAATCTCCATTCCGTCCCCAATCCAGGGGAAGGATACTGCAAAATCTCCATTCCCACCCCACTCTAAGGGAAGGATACTGCAAAATCTCCATTTCCTCCCGATCAGCTGGGACTTGGGAGGCAGAGAATAGATGGGAGGGAGGGGCCAGTCAGAATTTTTACTACCGGTTCTCCGAACTACTCAAAATTTCCGCTACCGGTTCTCCAGAACTGGTCAGAACCTGTTGAAACCCACCTCTGGGGAGGGGGGGTATGTGTTCTGATCTAGGCTTCCCCAAACCACGAAGCAGACTCCTCGTCCCGACAAAAAACCCTTTTTATTAAGTGACTGTGAATTCCTCTCGTTCACATCCAGCAAAGTCTTTCCAGGGAGAATTTACAGTCGCAGACTTTATCTGGCTTGGAGAGCTGCCAGACTGATATCTTCAAAACTTGGCAAGGAGTCTCGGAGAGTCACGAACCAATTAAGCGAACTAATTGTCTCCTGCAAACTCCACTCCCCTTTCGCTCCTCTTTATTCCCTCTGGAAGGGGCCATTCATCGTCCACCTGTGGCTTTACTCCTGAGTCGACCCTTGTTCTTTAGCTCTTCCCTTCGTCTGGCAGCTCTGCACATGCACACACTGGGAACAGGCTTCAGCTGTTCTTCTGCCCCACTGATGTCTGACTCCGAAGGCAGTTGATAACTGTCAGACGGCCCTGGCCCCCTCTCTGCCTCCGACGCAGAGCCCTCATCAGAGCCTTCCCCAGACTCCAGGACTGGCCCAAGTCCCTCCCCAACCTCCTCACTGCCTGAATCTGCTGCCAGCTCTGCTGGCCGCTGGCCGGCCACAACAGTATGGTCCGATCAACTGGAAGCCCTCAGATCTTCCGGCCTGCCGGTTAGGCAGATCCCATCTGCTGCCACTGAGCAAAAAAAAATCTTGGAGATGTCACTATGGACACCTGGACACTAAGTAAGGCTTCAGGCGAGAAGACAACACGTAAACACAAAGGAGGATCAGCTGGAAAGGTGACAAGAATAGATCTGAGTTTTTCTTTCCTGGAACCTGCTCAGGTTTTGTTGTATCGCTTCCAGCTTCCCCTTGGCACATTGGCACCTTAATTGAACACTGTTGCCGCTAGGTGTTTATTCTCCTTATAATTAGCCAGACGTGTTGCGTAAAACTGGATTGGATTCCCAAAAAACTCCCTGTTTTTTTGCATGGAAAGGATAGAAGGGAAGAGAATACGACAGGTAATACTCAACTTACGACCGCTCGCTTAGCAAATGTTCAAAGTAACGATGGAATCCCCCAAACTACTTCAGAGTTACAGCCGCCCCACTTCTTTCCCTATGCAGTCATGTGAACCTGGGGTGAAAAGCTCCCGGTTCGGACCGGATCAGGCGATCCGGTAGCGATTGTGGCAGGTGGTTCAGAGAACCGGTAGCGATGGTGGCGCGAAGCTCTGCCCACCCGCCCAGATGTCGTTACTTCCTGCTTTTAAAAGGTAAAAAAAAAAAAAAGTCTCGGACAATCGAGCGCCACAGCTGTGATTGCCAGAGCCTTTTTTAACCTTTTAAAAGCATTTTTTTTTACAACCTATTTGTCCGAATAGGCTGTAAAAAATGCTTTTAAAAAGTTTTTTTAAAAAAAAAGTTGGCCACGCCCACCTAATCACATTACTGCCCCTCCCCACCAAGCCACGCCCACAGAACCGGTAGGAACAAATTTTACATTTCACCACTGACGTGAACGCGTATTTTTGGGGTCACCAGATCACATTTTTTGGGCCGTTCGTGGCCTCGCACAATTGCATGGCTGTGATTTGCAACTGGGCTCCCCCATTTAATCCTGTTTTCCAGGAAAAAAAAAATACCCATTGGGGCAGAGGTGGGTTTCAGCAGGTTCTGACCAGTTCTGGAGAACCGGTTGCGGAAATTTTGAGTAGTTCGGAGAACCGGTAGTAAAAATTCTGACTGGCTCCGCCCCCCCATCTATTCTCTGCCTCCCGAGTCCCGGCTGATGGGAAGGAAATGGGGATTTTGCAGTAACCTTCCCCTGGATTGGGGTGGGAATGGAGATTTTACAGTATCTCCCCCTGCCACGCCCACCATGCCACACCCACCAAGCCATGCCACGCCCACCAAGCCACACCCACAGAACCGGTAGTAAAAAAAATTTGAAACCCACCACTGCATTGGGGAAACTTAATGACTGCCCCGTTCGCTTAATAGCACCGCAAACACTCTCCGAAAATAGGTTCTGTGTCGCTTCGACTTACGACGGCAACGATTTAACGACCGTAATTCTGGGCCCACTTTGGATGAATCTCCTCAGAGAAGAAACTGAGGCAAGTTTCGGAGCCCATGTCTCAAGTCGTATGGACGGATCACAGAAACAGGCTGCAGAAGGGTTAAAATTTGCTTGCTTTTCGATAGCAGGGCATGGAATCGAACGTTATACCTCAATAATGCTCAGTCTTTCCATGCTGCAGCCGACACGGTATCCCGCAGCCGATTCAAGAGTTGGATCATCTGGAAGGGACAAAAATGGGCGTGTGAACCGGATTTACTCTCCTGCCAGTGAGAGAAAAGTCAGGATTTTAATCCGGGGAAAAGTTACGATCATTGCCGCTCGACCAACACTCAACACCGTCGGTTGCAAGATCTCTAGCTTTCTTTCCCTCAGAGAAGGAAGCCGTAAGTCACTTTAGGGAAAAAGAGGTCACTCGCCACCTCTTTAAGCCGTATAAAGCACTGTGTTCGAGAGGATGACAGTCTGTATCCTCCATTTGTTCCCTAAATGGAGACTACCTGGGGCTTCGTCCGTTTCTTCTGCCGTTTCAATCTTATCCATGAGATCGTTGGAACTCCATTTTGTAATCTCTTTCGGGAACACCTCTTCGTTCTCAGAGATATCTTCTATGGAAGAGAAGAGGAGGGAAGGGGAGGGGAGGGGAGGGAGGAGAAGAGGGAGGAGGAGGGGAGGGGAGGGAAGAGAAGAGAAGGGGAGAAGAGAGGAGAAGAGAGAAGAGAAAGGGGAGGAGGAGGGGAGGGAAGAGAAGGGAAGGGAAAGGGAGAGGAGAGAAGAGGAGGGGAGGGGAGAAGAAAGAGGAGAAGAGGGGGAGGAGGGGAGGGGGAAGGGAAGAGAAGGGAAGAGAAGAGGGAGGAGCAGGGGAGGGAAGGGGAGGGGGAGGGAGAGAAGAGAAGGAGGAGGAGAGGGGAGAGGAGTGGAGAAGAGAGGAGAGAAGGAGGAGGCAGAGAAGGAGAAACATAAGGAGAAGGAGAAAGTTGAGAAGGAGAAAGAGACGGAGGATGAGGAGGAGAAGGTAGAGGAGGAGAAAGAGAAAGCAATTAAGGCATAAATACCTTAACGTTCTATTTTTAATCATATTTTTATCATTTGCCAGTTGGGCGTGGGTTGAGCCCGGCTAACTCTCATTGCTTTTTGTGTGTGTGTGTGTGTTTTAATTTATTTTGCCCTGCCGAACATCTTCGATCTCCTTGCCCCCACCCCCATTAAAACCCGCCCACCATTAAAACTGCCAAAGCTTACCCAAAAGTTTTCAGCCGAGCAATTCCCAAACTTTCCTCTTCTGGAAACAGCTGCCTGCCTTGCCAGAATTGCGGGCCAGAATGCAAAAATCCCAGGTTGCCACCTTCCCCAACTAAGGCAACCCCTTTTGGAAAGGATGTGTGTGTGTGTGTGTATGTGGTTTCCCACCTACCGTGGGCATCGAAGAATTCCTCGTCGGAGCTCTCCTCCGAGTCCCGGGCGATGCTTTCCATCCTCCACTCGGAGATGTTATGGTGCGAGGGGCTTGCTAGGAACAAGAAAAGAGGTTTGATACCGTCAGTTCTTCTCGGAGACCAAGGGAGGGAGGGGCCTTTCCTGGCAGAGACCCATCCAGCCACCTTTCAAGACACGGCAAATCCAAGGATGCTACACCCACCCGGGTCCGGGGGGGGGGCTCACAACCCCCTGCCCAGACAGCCCCGGCAATCGGAGAACCTCCGTGGCTGCTCGCTGCTCTGAACGAGTAAAGATATTTATAAACCTGGGAAGGATGATGGAGTGGGGGGGGGGAATCACTTTGGATGCACAGGCCGGCAATTTAGCAAAGGAAGTGGTCTAATTGAACCTGCTTTTATTTTGTTTGTTTGTTTGTTTTTCTTTCCATAGTACAGGGAGGTTATGGTAAAAAGCTTCGTTCCTCTGTTAGGAAGGTTTGCAAAAAGGAAGAAAGAAAGGAAAAACAGCCAGCTTTTGAAGCAGGCAAAATTCTCTTTCCCATGCTTGAAATACAGAAATAACCACAACTGGAAGGTAGAAAAATATGCATGCATATAGGTAGGTAGGTAGGTAGGTAGGTAGGTAGGTAGGTAGGTAGGTAGAGATAGATAGATAGATAGATAGATAGATAGATAGATAGATAGATACATAGATGCATGATAGATAGATACAGATAAGATAGACAAAAAGACAGACAGACAGACAGATAGACAGACAGATATATATAGATAGGTAGATTGGTAGGTAGGGAGAGAGAGAGAGAGAGATTATCTGATAGAGAGGTAGGTAGGTAGGTAGGAAGAGAAAGAGAGAGAGAGAGAGAAAGAGATAGATGATAGATAGATAGATAGATAGATGATAGATAGATAGATAGATAGATAGATAGATAGATAGATAGATATAGAGATAGGTAGGTAGATAAAGAGAGGTAGGTAGGTAGGTAGGATAGATAGATAGATAGATAGTTAGATGATGGATGGATGATAGGGTAGGGTAGGGTAGGGTAGGATAGGATAGGATACGAAGGTAGGTAGGTAGGTGGATGAATGGATGGGATAGATGATAGACAGACACACACAAACATATTCCCCAGAATTTAGGGAGATGTAAACACAGTGCTGGGGCTGTCAGCTAAGATTCACAATTTCAGCAGTTGTTGAGATCAGAGAATGATTAATTCAGTTTCTTTTTCTTTTCTTTTTTTTATCAACACTAATTGCCTCTCCGAACCAGACCTTCCGCCTTTCATTAAGCAGAGAAGCTCGGTGCTGAAAAGACAACAGCTCCGCCAGGCAGCGAGATGCACATCGATGCAAAAATGCACGCAGACGGAAAATCAAAACTGCATTCCTAAGGTGGTTGACATCCCTCGCCAAAACTACAGCTTGCCACCCGCACCCCAAGGGGGAAAATATATATATATATATATATATATATATATATATATATCTGCTTTCTGTACTAGGAAGTGCAAAGCCAGGGATACAAATGGAGATTCCTGCAGGCATCTGGCAGTTGTGCAGAAAGGCAGGCCTAGACGTGATTGCGTTTCTTCCGCTGTTGAGCAATAATTGTGATGGTGAATAGCAAAGTTGATGGTGGATGGCACGGGAACTCCAAACCCATCATTCACGCCCGAGCAAGGACCTGTAGGGGTCCTCGGTGCTCTCTGAGCGTGCCGGGTTTTCTTGCAGATGTTTCATGACCCAACTAGGTAAGATCATCAGTGCTAGAAGGAATGAGGTTTGCAGAATGGAGGAGGAGGAGGAGGAGGAGGAGGAGGAGGAGGAGGAGGAGGAGGAAACTGGGGTCCTTGGTGCTCCCTGACTTTAGTGATTTTCTTGCAGATGTTTCATGACCCAACTAGGTAAGATCATCAGTGCTAGAAGGAATGAGGTTTGCAGAATGGAGGAGGAGGAGGAGGAGGAGGAGGAGGAGGAAACTGGGATCCTTGGTGCTCCCTGACTTTAGTGATTTTCTTTCTTGATTTTCTTTCATGACCCAACTAGATAACATCATCAGTGCTAGAAGGAGTGGGGTTTGCAAAATGGAGGAGGAGGAGGAGGGCAAAACTGTGGGGTCCTGGTTCTCCCTGACTGTAGAGGTTTTCTTGCAGCTATCTGATGGCCAAACCAAGTGACATCCTTAGTGCACTGATGATATTCCCTAGTTGAGTCATGAAAGGTCTACAGCAAAAACTACCAAGCTCAGAGAGCCCCAAAGACCCCACAGCTGAGCTACAAATATTCTCTTCTCTATCTGAACAAGACCAGAAGACAAGCTGAACTTTGCCAGCCGTTGCTCTGGACTCTAATTTCACTAATTGCCCTGCGGAAAGGTTAGCGTCCTCCTCGGGGATAAGCCACAAACGAATTCTGTTTTCCGCCTTGGCTCCGTACACCCTTCCTGCTGATGCCACCCCAAATCCTTTGGGGATCAGGGAGCAGACTGACAACTAAATCACCCTAGGTTGACGTCAAAGGCTCTTGTGTAAAAGCTGCTAAAAATAGGAGAGGGAATCAGGCCTGCTGGCCCTCCAAGCTTACTCCAGGGGTGGGTCGGGCTTTTGCGGTAGAAAACCCAGCCAGGTGGAAAGCGGGTGGGCGGAAGAGCTGCTTTCCCATCAGGGCAGCAGGAAAGCCAAACACTCGTGGGCACCTGTCCCTCCAGCAGGCTCAAAAAGACGATGAAGAAGCCACTGGGACATGCGTCCCTAGCTCAACCTGTTGTCATGTGTTACTGCAGTTGGGTGGATCTGGTCTCATGGGAGAGAGCAGCTAGGGGTATGTGTGTAACATGGGGAGGGAGAGGAGGAGGAGGGGAATGGGAAAGGAGGAGGAGAAGAAGGGGAATGGGGAAGGAGAAGGAAGAGAAGGAGGAGAAGAAGGAGGAGGAGGGGAATGGGGAAGAGGAGGAGAAGGAGAAGGAGGGGAATGAGGAATGGGGAATGGGAAAGGAGAAGGAAGAGAAGAAGGAGAAGGAGGGGAAGGAGGAGGAGGAGGAGGGGAATGGGAAAGGAGGAGGAGGAGAAGGGGAATGGGAAAGGAGGAGGAGGAGAAGGAGGAAGAGGAGGAGGAGGAGGAGGGGAAGGAGGAGGAGGGGAATGGGGAAGGAGAAGGAAGAGGAGAAGGAGAAGAAGGAAAAGAAGGAGGAGGAGGAGGAGAAGGGAAGAAGAAGAAGAAGAAGAAGAAGAAGAAGAAGAAGAAGAAGAAGAGGAGGAGGAGGAGGAGGAGGAGGAGGAGGAGGAGGAGGAGGAGGAGAAGGAGGAGGAGGAGGAGAAAAAGAAGAAGAAGAAAGAAGAAGAAGAAGAAGAAGAAGAAGAAGAAGAAGAAGAAGAAGAAGAAGAAGAAGAAGAAGAAGAAGAGGAGGAGGAGTTCTATTCAATGCAATTTATATGATGACAAACCCCACCCCCTTGGGGGCCCGACTCACCTCCTCTTTTGGAAGAGGATTTGGAAGACGTTGACCACTGCTTGGTTAGCACTCGCCCCGGCAAAGATTCGTCAGTATTGCTGGTGGCATCCACCCCCTCGGTGGATGGAGGTATGGCCTTGGATTCCACATTGCGCTCGTTCAGGGGGTCTTGAGGAAGGTGCGGTTCTAGATCGGACTCGTTGATGCTGAACTGGGCCATCTTCTGGGCCAACATCAGCTGGGCCTCCTTCTCCAGCTGCCGGATGTCCTCTATGGTGAGTCCGTACCATTCGTCCTGCCAACACCACGCCTGCCGATGAGCCCTTACCATCACTTTCCGTAAACCTGGGGGAGGGGGGGAACCAAAATCAGCCATCATCAACCTGCTTTCTTGGACTCGTATTAAGACAAGCTTCAGAAGCTTCTCAAATAATGAAAACCTTCCACCCACCAATCCGTTCAAGACAATCATTTCCGATACATCAACGTATCGAATTTAAATCAGAGCTGTTCCTACGGGGTATCCTACCTGAAAAAAATTAGCAAGGAAAAAATTAATCTGATAATACACGTAATAACAGCTGCAAGGATTGTCTACGGACAAAATTGGAAAGCGGAGAAAATACCTTTGGAAGAAGAGGTAATTAAAAAAAATCTTAAGATTGCGCAGAAATGAATAGATTAACTCTGATGATTAATGGATAGAGAATATTTTAAAATAGGGAATGATTTTTATTATTGGTTGGAGAAGAGGTATCAATGATTAATTATGGAAGTATGTAAAAATATGCGGCGAGTTGAATATTAGGTTAGAGATGAATTGATATTGTGGACTGGATAAGGATCAAGATAGAAGTAATGACAATTATACAGAAAAGGAAAGAACTTTGGAAGACAACACCGAGATGTCACAGGTAAGAGAAAACTGATGTATTAAATGTTTGTTTGTCTAAAAATTAAAAAAATTAAAAAATTAAAAAAGACAATCATTTCCTTATTTCCATGTTTTCTTTCCTATGAAGATATAAATCTTTCCTTCCTGAAATTCTGGACCCTTGGAGAGAGTTCATGATTTTTCTGTAAACTGTGAAGGTAGGTAGAACTTCTCGGGAAGGTGTACCTGTGTCTCACAGGAGGAGGAGGAAGAGGAAGAGGAGGAAGAAGTCTATTTGGGGACCTCATTTTCTGAGGAATGTATCTCTCTGGGTTTCTTCAGCTTCAGGATGTCTTTCATCCTGGATCTGCAGACCATGTTTTGAGTCAATTTATACAGATTCCACTGGAGAATCCACTGGAGAATCCCTTTGAGTCCAACCTTCCAGACGTGTGGACTAATTCCCAGAATTCTAGGCAACAGCTGCACAATTCTGGAGGTTGAAATGCTTGTCCACCTGCGAAGGGTTAAACCCAAGTTGGCTTCAGCCATTCCATCTTGGTTAGAAGAAGAACTACATCTTGGGCTTTCTTCCACCATTCTTCTGGATCTTTGGACCTCTGGTCTTTGAGAATTTCCTCTCCCAAACGGGATCCTACAGATGTGTCAGGATGACAGCTCTCAAATTCTAGGAACTGAACACATCTGGAGGAGGCCCAGGCTGGGCTCAACCAGGCTGAGATGCCTGCCACTGGGGGAGCCTGAGGATCCAGGACCCTCCTAAAAGAACGGAGCTGACGGTGGAGACCCCCGAGATCAAAGACTCACCAACATCATGGATGAAACGTTCGATTTTCGACTGCATCCCCCAGTAACGGAACTCCACCTTGCAGAGTTTATAGGCACACATGACAGGATATCTCCCAGGGTTATTCTGGTGCTCTTGGATCCAGTCTTCTGCCAGAGGGCCCCTGGCTGTCTTGGCTGATTTGAAGACCTTTGGGTCCTCCTCTGATTTGTATTCGTGGGGTGGGACGGGATCCTTCACAATATCGATAGGATCTAATGTGGGGAGGGGGGGGGGAAATACACAGAATAAATACGCTCAAGCCACAGAAAACAGTCCCTCAATAGCCTTTCCCTAAAGCAGGGGTCAGCAACCTGCGGCTCTGGAGCCGCATGTGGCTCTTTCCCCCCTCTGCTGCGGCTCCCTGTCACTCAAAATATGCGTCACAACCGCCAATGTGCGACACCCGCCGGCACGCGATTTATTGAGCTTTTCAACCTCCGGTAGGCCAACCATGGATAAATCCAAGAAAAGAAAAGTTTCAGAAGAAAACCTAATGTTTAATTCAACTACATATGCTAGTTTTGTGGCCACTCAAGAAATCGTCAGGCACGGGAAGCGTTTTTGTGGCTCCCGGTGTTTTCTTTTCTGTGGGGAACAGGCCCAAATGGCTCTTCGAGTGTTTAAGGTTGCCGACCCCTGCCCTAAAGGATTGCTGTGTTTAGATAAGAGTGTAGAAACAGTACCATGATCTCCACCTCTCTCTGTTTACACAAGAAGAGCTGGTTGTTTAAACAGTTTATTCAAGGTTGGCAGAAGCTGGGTAGCCTCAACTTCCCCCGGGGAAGCCAGCGAGAACGTTTCTCTTCTACCTTTCAGGAGAAGACCTCCCAATCGCCACCTCTTTCTAAAAGGACACCAGATTCGAACAGGCTAAGCCCAACGGAGGGGGCCGGTTCATACTTTTGCCAACTAGAAAAGATCTCGTCAGAATCACAGAGTAACCAAATTGGAAGGGACCTTGGAGGTCTTCTAGTCCAACCCTAACCCTACACCACTTCAGACAAATGGTTATCCAACATCTTCTTAAAAACTTCCAGTGTTGGAGCATTCACAACTTCTGGAGGCAAGTTGTCCCACTGGTTAATTGTTCTCACTGTCAGGAATTTTCTCCTTAATTCTAAGTTGCTTCTCTCCTTGATTAGTTTCCACCCGTTGCTTCTTGTCCTGCCTTCAGGTGCTTTGGAGAAGAGCTTGACTGCCTCTTCTTTGGGGCAACCCCTGAGATATTGGAAGATGCTATCTTGTCTTCCCTAGTCCTCCTTTTCATTAAACTAGACATACCCAGTTCCTGCAACCGTTCTTCCTATGTTTTATCTCTCTCTCAAATCAAATGGGAAAAAAGCAGGGAGCAATTTGAGTCCCGTCACAATTTTCTGCCATTATTCACAAAAATTATCCCCGTTTATGCCGAGGCCTGAGGAAGACCGATCACAGCTGAAATCTGTCTGTCCGCCTTAGCCAAACTGTAAGAGAGAAATTAAAATTTGGGGAAAAGCTGACACCCACCTAAAACAGTCTGCCTTTCCTCTGCTGGGGAAAGGTTGAACACGTTGGCTTGGTCTCCTGAGTCAGGTATATAATAGGTTTCAATATCGATGGAGAATTTCTCCACAAATGGGCAGGTGTACCTGAAGAAGAAGAAGAAGAAGAAAAGAGCAACTGAAAAGCTTTAGATTAAAAACGTGTCAGAGCCCTCCCAACCCGCGCTCACATACACACACATATATATACGGTGTGTAATAAAGGCAGCTGTTTTCCTAAGGAAAAAGCCAGCAAAATAAATGAAAAAGGCCTCCGGGATACACCGAGTAACACAGAATTTTATTAGCACCTCGGCTTTCATAAAGCTTTTTTTTTTTGCCAACGAGGCAAAACCGGAACAGGCTTGCTGCCGTGTTGATGTGAAGAAATTTAAATGATGGTCTTCCCCCCCCCCCCACATACAAATGCTGTCTTAGATGTTATAAGCTCACTGTCAGGGTTCCAAGTAATACTCCCATATCAAGCAAAACTCCGAGGCAGGTGGATTCCTCAAAGAATAGCTTTATTTGGATGTATCATATTGGCACAGATCCAGGGGTGAAATCCAGCAGGTTCTGACAGGTTCTGGAGAACCGGTAGCGGAAATGTTGAGTAGTTCGGCGAACCGGCAAATACCACCACTGGCTGGCCCCAGAGTGGGGTGGGAATGGAGATTTTACAATATCTTCCCTCTGGCGTGGGGTGGAAATGGGGATTTTGCAGTATTCTTCCCCTGGAGTGGGGTGGGAATGGAGATTTTGCAGTATTCTTCCCCTTGAGTGGGGTGGGAATGGAGATTTTGCAGTATCCTTCCCCTAGAGTGGGGTGGAAATAGGGATTTTGCAGTCTCCTTCCCCTGGAGTGGGGTGGGAATGGAGATTTTGCAGTCTCCTTTCCCTGGAGTGGGGTAAGAATGGAGATTTTGCAGTATCCTTCCCCTGGAGTGGGGTGGGAATGGAGATTTTACAATATCTTTCCCCTAGTATGAGGTGGGAATGGAGATTTTACAGTATCCTTCTCCTGCCACACCCAGAACCGGTAGTAAAAAAAAATGGAATTTCACCACTGCACAGATCTGGTGAAAACCGACTCTGAAGGTTTTCACCTAATTAAAAGTTTTGTCACTTTCGCAAAACAAGCACTCAAATCAGTGGTGGGATTCAAATTTTTTTACTATTGGTTCTGTGGGTGTGGCTTGGTGGGCGTGGCAGGGGAAGGATACTGTAAAATCTCCATTCCCTCCCCACTCCCGGGGGAAGGTTACTGCAAAATCCCCATTTCTTCCCGATCAGCTGGGACTCGGGAGGCAGAGAATAGATGGGGGCGGGGCCAGCCAGAGGCGGTATTTACCAGTTCTCCGAACTGCTCAAAATTTCCATTACCGGTTCTCCAGAACTGGTCAGAACCTGCTGAAACCCACCTCCGAGTCACATGGTCCAATCACTGTGCTTTCTAGCTACCTGATGACATCACTCCGCCTTCCTCTGACCAGGTGTGAGAATGACCTTGGTTCCCAAGAGAAAGTATTTTGTTTTGGCTACAAAGTCCCAGCCATCTCAAATCCCTCCCTCCCTTATCCCTCAGCTCCAGTATGGCAACCCTGAATCTGTCAAGATGGTTTCGGTCAGGTCAGCTCTAGGGTTGACCCTCGCTCTCATTTTCCCAACTCTTGGTTGCTACTCCAGAGGCCCCCCCTCCACTTTTTTAAAAAATTTGATTTATATGCCGCCCTTCTCCGGAGACTCAGGGCGGCTTACAATGTGTTAAGCAATAGCCTTCATCCTTTTGTATATTTATACAAAGTCAGCTTATTGCCCCCACAATCCGGGTCCTCATTTTACCTACCTCGAAAGGATGGAAGGCTGAGTCAACCTTGAGCCTGGTGAGATTTGAACTTGCAGTAATTGCAGGCAGCTGATGTTAATAACAGTGCTTTAGTCTGCTGCGCCACCAGGGCTTTGCAAAAACAAACAAAACAACCAATGGGGTAAAAATGCAAGGGGGAAAAATCACTGGGTGGTACCTTGTCCTGGTATAAGGATATGCATTCCACGATTCCTCTTCGACTCGGAGAGCCGCCTTTGGGAGTATCGATCGGAACCAGCTGGGAATATGCATACCAATATGGTATACTTTATGGGTATACTGCCCATCGCCACCCGGGCCATCGATATACGGTCGGTTTTCCAAAATCTCCACGCCACTGCCTTCGCCACAAGTTTCTTCCCGGCTCTTTTTCTGAAATTGGAGAAATAGATAAATGGGCAGACAGATATCAATTATTATAAAACTAAGAAAAGGGGTAAAAGGTACAGGTTCCCCTTGCACATCTGTGCTAGTCGTTCCCGACTCTAGGGGGCGCTGCTCATCTCTGTTTCAAAACCAAAGAGCTAACGCTGTCTGAAGACGTCTCTGTGGTCATGTGGCCGGCATGACTCAACGCCAAAGGCGCACGGAACGCTCTTCCCTTCCCACCAAAGGTGGTCCCTATTTTTTCTACTTGCATTTTTTTACCTGCTTTCGAACTGCTAGGTTGGCAGAAGTTGGGACAAGTCACGGGAGCTCACCCCGTTACGCGGCTCTCGGGACTCGAACCGCGGAACTGCCGACCTTTCAATCGACAAACTCAGCGTCTTAGCCACTGAGTCACCCTGTCCCTACGAAAAGGGGACGTCCAAATAACTCTGTCTCTCGGGGGCCCAAAATGCCACCTGGGGAATTAGGAATACTTTCTTGTTTCCTGTCCATGCATTATCAGGATGGATAGCACGAGAGTACTCCTTATCAAGCAATTAAAATAATAATAATAATAAGAGGAGAAGCCTGTCCTTCTGTTTCCCTGTTCCCTCCCTCCCTCCCTCCTTGCCTTTCATTTGTGTTTTGTAAGTGATTTTAAAGTGGCTGCCACTTTGGGAATTAAAGACAAGCTGAGATCGGAGTTATGAATTGACTGTAAAAAAGACTTCAGTAATGACCTTTTCTTTTGGCAGGCAAACAAGACGAAGAGAAAGCTACGTTTAACAACAAGGGGAAAAAAAAAAAGAATGATTAATAATGATAAGAGGGTGTAGAAAAAAAAGCCTATGAAAGGGACGTTAACTTTACAACTTTGACTTGAGGGCCACTTAAAATTCTGTCGAACCATAAAAACGGCAAAGGACGCCATGGAAAAGTGGAAAGGAGGAGACGTTTATAACGACAGCAAAATAAATTTGATAATTTCGAAGGCTCTGCTGCTACTGATCTCATAATACTGAGGAATAGGGGGAGCCACTCACGGCTCTTCCCAGCTAACGGCTTTTACAAAAGCGATCAACTCCCTTTTTCAGCAGGAAAACAGAAGCTTTCCAAATAATAAAAAGCTTCCCATTCACCAATCCGTTCAAAAAGGAAAGGCTACCGTTTGCTAGCGATGCTCCTTCGTTTGACCTGCTCATTACACCTGGCGGGCATTTGGTTGGTTGTTGCAAACAAATCTGCACAATGGCTACTGGGGGAACGTACCTGGCTGCCAAGCCACCATTCCTTCCGTTTCTCTTAAAACACCACTACAAGCAGTGGAAAGGAAAGGAAAGGAAAGGAAAGGAAAGGAAAGGAAAGGAAGGGAAGGGAAGGGAAGGGAAGGGAAGGGAAGGGAAGGGAAGGGAAGGGAAGGGAAGGGAAGGGAAGGAAAGGAAAGGAAAGGAAAGGAAAGGAAAGGAGAAAGGAAAGGGAAAGGGAAAGGGAAAGGGAAAGGGAAAGGGAAAGGAAAGGAAAGGGAGATGGATGGAGATAGATAGATAGATAGATAGATAGATAGATAGATAGATAGATATGAAGGGAGGGAGATGGATGGATAGATAGATAGAAAGGGAGGGAGGGAGGAAGGGAGGGAGATGGATGGATAGATAGATAGGGAGGAAGGGAGGGAGGGAGGGAGGAAGGAGAAAGGAAAGGAAAAAGGGAAGGGAAGGGAAAGGAAAGGAAAGGAAAGCAGGAAAGGAAAGGAAAGGAAAGAAGGAAAGGAAAGGAGAAAGGAAAGGGAAAGGAAAGGAAAGGAAAGGAAAGGAAAGGAAAGGAAAGGAAAGGAAAGGAAAGGAAAGGAAAGGAAAGGGAGATGGATGGAGATAGATAGATAGATGATAGATAGATAGATAGATAGATAGATAGATAGATAGATAGATAGATAGATATGAAGGGAGGGAGATGGATGGATAGATAGATAGATAGATAGATAGGGAGGAAGGGAGGAAGGGAGGAAGGAAGGAGAGGGGAAAGGAGAGGAGAGGGAAAGGGAAATGAAAAAATTCATAAAAGTCTAAGCTCAGATACAGAGCTGGCCCTGGCCATGTGTGGTCAAGAGTAGAGCTGTCCAGCTTTGGCAACTTAAAAGACCAGTGGACTTCAACTCCCAGGCTGGCTGGAGAATTCTGGGAGTTGAAGTCCCCAGGTCTTAACGGTGCCAAGGTGGGACACCCTTGCTCCAGAACTTCAAGACCCACAACTCAACGTTTTCAGACTCTCTCCTTGTCTTAAGAAAGGGAGAAACTTAAGCCACCCCACTCCGGTGGCCTCCAGCATCTCACAACCTAGACACTCCCCCTCCTTCTCTAATGCTAGATTTCCAGGCCAAACGGGGACTCGGGCGAAAGCAACAACATTAAATGACTCACCACAAAAAACCCAGGGAGGCAGAGAGACCTCATGATGGGGAAAAGAATTACAGCCACTTAAAAAGCTTTTACGGAAATCCATCTCCGGGCAAAAGGGAGATCAAGTGAGGCAGGAGTCAGCTTTGCCGTCGTGGAAAAAGCCACCCCAATAGATGTCAAACAAGCGATCGGTCATCTGTCGGGGACAGCTAGAAAGAACCGGATGCCGGTTCTTTCTTCATGAAACCACCAATGGCTTCAGGGCCATCTTGGTTTCTTGCACAGAGGTGCTGCCAGGGGTGAAATCCATTTTTTTTTTTTTACTACCGGTTCTGTGGCTTAGGACCTGGTTATCTACAGGACCGCCAGCTGCCGCAAACGGCTTCCCACCGGCCGGTACGCTCTCACAGAGAGGGACTCCTCCGGGTGCCGTTGGCCAAACAATGTCGGCTGGCGGCCCCCAGGGGGAGAGCCTTCTCTGTGGGGGCACCCACTATCTGGAACGAGCTCCCCCCGGAGATACGGAGGATCCCGGATCTACGCACCTTCCGCCGTACTCTTAAGACCCTCTTATTCCAGCAAGCCGGCCTGGCCTAATTTTTCTCCCCTTTCTTTTAAATTTCAAATTGAAATTTTAATTTGTTTTAAATTTATTGGGGTTTTAATTGTCATGGGCTAAATTATTTAATTTGGTTTTAAATTGTTTTTAACTTTTGTATTTCTGTATTTTATCCTGTGCCTGTTCACCGCCCTGAGTCCTTCGGGAGTAGGGCGGTATACAAATTTAATAAAACTAAACTAAACTAAACTGTGGGCGTGGCTTGGTGGGCATGGTGTGGCTTGGTGGGTGTGGCTTGGTGCGCATGGCAGGGGAAGGATATCGCAAAATCTCCATTCCCACCCCACTCCTGGGGCCAGCCAGAGGTGGTATTTGCCGGTTCTCCGAACGGCTCAAAATTTCCGCTCCCGGTTCTCCAGAACCTGTCAGAACCTGCTGGATTTCACCCCTGCCCAAGACCCCATCACGAAACACAAATCCCAGCCGGGGAAGTACTGAGGACCCAGTTTGTGGGGGCAATAAGCTGACTTTGTATAAAATATACAAAAGGATGAAGGCTATTGCTTAACGCATTGTAAGCCGCCCTGAGTCTCCGGAGAAGGGCGGCATATAAATCAAATTAAAAAAAAAAAGTATATAAAACACACAGCCCAAAGACCAGGGAGGATAAAAATCAATGATTTTTTTTAAAAAAAATCAAAAAAATCAGATTTTTTTTTATTTAAATGGGATTTTTTTGATTTAAATGGGATTTTATTTTTTATTTTTATCGAATTTATTTTAATAAAATACTTTTGGGGTAAAAAATCTATTGTAAGATAGTTTTCTATTTAAGATACATAAATAATTTAGTTTATTCAGCATGAAAAGGAGCTTATTTCTGTAGCAGGAGGCTGTATATTCTGCAACACCGGGACTATCGGTGAGTCAACAGTGGGTCAAAGGAGTAGCAGAGATGACAGCGGCTCTTTCAAAATTACGATTTAAATTGAGTTGATTTAAATCAAGCCTTTTTACTAGTGATTTAAATCATGATTGAAATTGTGATTTAAATCAACTCGATTTAAATCAAATCCACCCTGCCAAAGACGGTTAAAAAAAAACCGCCCACAAGGCCAACTCCTTACCTCTCCGTACAACTACAAAATAAACCTCGGTTTTTCTACCCAGCTCCCCTTTTTAAAGCAAGGCCGTTTTCTCTCCTGCGTTTCTGTGCTATCGTTCTACTGTCACTGTAATTGCAGTAGAAGCGAGCAGGTTGACAGCGTGCGAGAAATCACGCCGTGGGATCGATCAATTTGCACGGCGTTACAGAGAACAACAAGGTTTTGGGCAGAGGCGTGCCAAGTGAAAAGTGCACAACTGGAGTCCCCAGGGTGGAACCGCCCTCTCCTTGCCCCCCGAGGTCTCTTTCCCACCCCTGCGACGGTTCTTAAGTGTGAAAAACGGATGTCAGTCGCATTTTTTAAGGGCCATTGTAACTGTGAACGGTCGCTAAAAGAACTGTTGTAAGTCAAGAACTACGAGTTGCCCAATTTGCCTAAAAGAAGCAACAGCCTCCACTCAAATCACAGCGGAGGCTTAAACATCGCAAGCTTATGACGGGGCTGGATCCAAGGGTGAAATCTAGCAGGTTCTGACAGGTTCTGGAGAACCGGTAGCGGAAATTTTGAGCAGTTCGGAGAACCGGCAAATGCCACCTCGGGCTGGTCCCAGAGCGGGGTGGGAATGGAGATTTTGCAATGTCCTTCCCCCAGGAGTGGGGAGGGAATGGGGATTTTGCAGTATCCTTCCCCTGGAGTGGGGTGAGAATGGGGATTTTGCAGTATCCTTCCCCTGGAGTGGGGTGGGAATGGGGATTTTGCAGTATCCTTCCCCTGGAGTGGGGTGGGAATGGGGATTTTGCAGTGTCCTTCCCCTGGAGTGGGTTGGGAATGGGGATTTTGCAGTATCCTTCTCCCAGGAATGGGGAGGGAATGGGGATTTTGTAGTGTCCTTCCCCTGGAGTGGGGAGGGAATGGGGATTTTGCAGTATCTTTCCCCTGGAA